CACTGCCCCCTCCCCCGCTCTGCGTCCGGAGGGCAGGGCTGCCTGGACACTCTAGCCAGGTGACAGGTGATCACGCCCCCTCAACGCCGCTGGCGCCCACAAGGCACAGCTCCCCATGAGTTCAGTCCTGCCCCAGTGGTGACCCCGGTCTCAATGTGCCGCGCTCACCAATCAGCCTCCAACCCTAACAAACCGCACCCCTTCCTCAGTACCCACCTCTGCGGTCCGCGCCCCTTCCTCAGGCCACGCCCCCAGCGCTCCGCGCCCCCTCCCCCGGCCTGCCAGCACTCGAAATACCCGGGACGGCGGTGGCACGTACCCCCGGGCCCACGTTATGGGAGAAGGAATGCACGACGCCGCCGGGCCGCACGTCAAACGCCACCGTCGTGGGCTCGGACACCGCCTCCGCCGGGCTCAGCGCCACGGCCCCTAGGAGCAGCGCAGCCCACAAGCTCGTGCCTACGCCGTTCCACCCTCCGCTGGGCGCCGCCATGTTGGACAAGGGTCCTCAGGGCAAGGGCGGGCGGACGGGGCGCGGCGAGGGACACGTGGGGCGTCCGCTGGAGGCCACGTCGGCGTAGGCTGTATCACGTGACCCGGCGCTCCCCGCCCGAGGCCGCCATCTTGGGGGCGGGACTTTGCCGAGGGGTTGCCTCGCCCTAGGGACCCTGCGTAACCGGGCGGTCATTGGAGGGTCCCTCAGGTGGTAATGGAGTTCGTTTCGGGGGCTCAGGATCCCTCACCAGCCGCGTGGCTGACTGCAGCTCTTTCAGTTAGGAAATGTACAGGGAGTGAGGGAAATCGAAGGTCACCATTAAGCGAACTTCTCATAATCGTTGCAGCCAAGATGTGTGTGCATCGATATTCAAAATTAGCGGGGAGAAAGTAGGATGAGAAGCAGGATACTTGCTTTTGTTTCCCTCTTGTTGCCCAGGCTGGAGTGCAGTGGCGCGATCTCGGCTCACTTGTAACCTCCGCCTCCCAGGTTCAAGTGATTCTCCTGCCTCAGCGTCCCGAGAGGCTGGGACTACAGATGTGCACCACCACGCCCGGCTAATTTTTGTATTTTTGGTAGAGACAGGTTTTCCCCATGTTGGCCAGGCTGGTCTCGAGTTCCTGACCTCAAGTGATCCGCCTCCCTTAGCCTCCCAAAGTGCTGGGATTACAGGTGTCAGCCATCAAGCCCGACCAGCCTGTGTATTTGTTAATAGGATTATGTGGGTGTTCACTTCCTGGCTTTGATAAACTGGCTTGTCCTAGGGTTACAGACGATGTTCACATTAGGGGGAGTTGCATGAAGCGTATTAGGAAACCCTACAGTTTCTGCAGGTTTTTTGGGAGGCTAAAATTATTTCAAAATAAAAAGTTAAAAAGAAAATAATCCCTACCTCAAGGAGTTGTTGGGAGGATTAAGTGAGGGAATGAAGTTCCCACACCAGGACGAATCAACTAAGAATTATATATTCTAGCTATTGCTATCATTAGATCCCAAGTTTTGGGAAGTCAGTCATTTGGGAACTGAGAGGGAAGTCATTCTTTGATTACAAATGCCTTAACATTTTAAGAAAACACCAGTGGCCAGGTCTGGAGGGTCAAGAATTAAACTGGTGTTTCCAGTTCTTCCCAACTGGCAAAAAGACAGAATCCAGAGAGAAAACGTCAGAGATGACTCCTGAGATGGGTTATAATGCACCCTTCGAGGAAGTAAATCACTCTACTCCATAGCTGAGCCCCAGGGAGGTGAGAAGGATCCCAGTGGAGGCTGACTCCTCTGCCAATGACAGAAGTCCAAGCCAGTTGCCTTTCTGCAGTGGCAGCCTGTTCTAAATTGGGATACCTGCTTGCGTTAGGAAATTTCTTGGCCAGGCGTGGTAGTTCATGCCTGCAATTCCAACCCTTCGGGAGGCCAAGGTAAGTGGATTGCTTGACCTCAGGAGTTCTAGACCAGTCTGGGCAACATAATGAGACCCCATTCCTATATATTTCATATATATCTATATATATATAGATAGATTTTTTTTTTTTTTTTTTTTTTAAGATAGCTGGGCATAGTGGTGGGCGCCTGTAATCCCAGCTACTTGGGAGGTTGGGACAGGAGAATCTCTTCAACCCGGGAGGCAGAGGTTACAGTGAGCTGAGATCATGCCACTGCACTCCAGTCTGGGTGACAGAGTAAGACTCCGTCTTAATAAATAAACAAACAAATCTCTTCCTCCATGCAGCTGTCTGTTCCAGACCCATGAGATACTGTCTCCATAAACTGGACAAGCACAGTGCAGCCCTGCTCCTTAGGTGAGTGACACAGCACGGTTCCACTGATGGAGTTCCCATTACCTTACCACGGTGTTCAGCTTTCAGCCTGTCACCATGAAGGATTCGATGCATAGCCAAGCTCTGCTGCTAAAAAGGAATTTCAGTTGTGAGCTGTTGGGAGTCTGCTGCTGAACCCAGGCAGGTGGTGTGTATGTATGTGCGTGCGTGTGTGTGTTCTTTCCAGAAAGGTTTCAGCCCCAAGTTTCCCCCATCCACCACAAATCATCACACTAAAAGGATTAAAAGAAAAAACAAGGCCGGGCGCGATGGCTCAAGCCTGTAATCCCAGCACTTTGGGAGGCCGAGACGGGCGGATCAGGAGGTCAGGAGATCGAGACCATCTTGGCTAACATGGTGAAACCCCGTCTCTACTAAAAAATACAAAAAACTAGCTGGGCGAGGTGGCGGGCGCCTGTAGTCCCAGCTACTTGGGAGGCTGAGGCAGGAGAATGGCATGAATCCGGGAGGCGGAGCTTGCAGTGAGCTGAGATCCGGCCACTGCACTCCGTTCCCATTACCTTACCACGGTGTTCAGCTTTCAGCCTGTCACCATGAAGGATTCGATGCATAGCCAAGCTCTGCTGGGCACAAGGAATTTCAGTTGTGAGCTGTTGGGAGTCTGCTGCTGAACCCAGGCAGGTGGTGGTAAGTGTATGTGCGTGGCGTGTGTGTGTTCTTTTCCAGAAAGGCTTTGCCTCAAGTTTCCCCATCCACCACAAATCATCACACTAAAAGGATTAAAAGAAAAAACAAGGCCGGGCGCGATGGCTCAAGCCTGTAATCCCAGCACTTTGGGAGGCCGAGACGGGCGGATCAGGAGGTCAGGAGATCGAGACCATCTTGGCTAACATGGTGAAACCCTGTCTCTACTAAAAAAATACAAAAAACTAGCCGGGCGAGGTGGCGGGCGCCTGTAGTCCCAGCTAATTGGGAGGCTGAGGCAGGAGAATGGCATGAATCCGGGAGGCGGAGCTTGCAGTGAGCTGAGATCCGGCCACTGCACCCAGCCTGGGCGACAGAGCGAGACTCCGTCTCGCCAGAAAAAAAAAAAAAAAAAAAAAACAAGGCTGGGCTCCCAGTACTTTGGGAGGGCAGATCACTTTTGAGCTCAGGATTTAAAATCAGTTTGGTCAAGACGGCAAGACACCGTCCCTATAAAAAATACAAAAACATTAGCTGGGCATGATGGCTTGTGCCTGTAGTCCCACTTACTTGGGAGGCTGAGGCCAGTGGATCACTTGAGCCATGGAAGAGGTTGCAGTGAGCCGAGATCACACCACTGCACTCCAGCCCTGGGTGACAGAGTGAAACCCTGGGTGTCAAAAAAAAAAAAAAAAGAAAAGAAAGAAAGAAAGAAAAAGAAAACAAGGCGGCCGGGCGCGGTGGCTCAAGCCTGTAATCCCAGCACTTTGGGAGGCCGAGACGGGCGGATCACGAGGTCAGGAGATCGAGATCATCCTGGCTAACACGGTGAAACCCCATCTCTACTAAAAAAATACAAAAACTAGCCGGGCGAGGTGGCGGGCGCCTGTAGTCCCAGCTACTCGGGAGGCTGAGGCAGGAGAATGGCGTGAACCCCGGGAGGCGGAGCTTGCAGTGAGCTGAGATCCGGCCACTGCATCCAGCCTGGGCGACAGGAGCGAGACTCCGTCTCAAAAAAAAAAAAAAAAAAAAAAAGAAAACAAGGCTGGGCACAGTGGCTCTTGTAATCTCAACACTTCTCAACACTTCGGGAGGCCAAGGTGGGAGGATCACTTGAGCCCAGGAGGTCGAGGTTGCAGTAAGCTGTGATTATACCACTGCATTCCTGCCTGGGTGACAGAGGAGCAAACAGCAAATTATTCCACAGATCCCACTAATCATGACATGAAATCTGTCACCTAAAGGACAAGATTCGATCACACGAATATCAGATTTTTCTTTTTTTTTTTTTTTTTGAGACATGGTCTTGCTCTGTCGCCCAGGCTGGAATCCACCCACCTTGGCATCCAAAAGTGCTGGGATTACAGGTGTGGGCCACCGCACTCGGCCTTGTATGTTTTTTTAAGCCCACTTTTTTTTTTTAAGTGGAAATTTCCAAAGGATGGAGCAAGTGGATCAAGCAGGGCAGTCCATCCCTGCTGTTAGAAACGGAGCCCAGATGCCCCGCACATTGCCAACAGGGGCTCCCTGGGTGTCTTGGCTGTTGGGACAATGTGAGGAGGTCCTTGGCTTGTCATGGTTCTCAGGGTGCAGAGTCTCAGGTAGAAAAGGAGGCGTCAGCCAGGTGAGGATCCAGCATGGAGGATGCTGCAGTTTGGGCCCGGGGGGTCAGACCAGGCCACACACGACAGCCAGAGCTGAGTCCCTGGAGACCGGTAGACCTTCCTAGACCAGCGAGGACAGGACTACCCTCATCAGGTGGCTGGGGCCATCCTCTTTGGGTCAGTCTGATCAGGGCATGGTGCCCAGGCAGCCCCAGCACCCCCGCAGTCCTTGAAGATGGCAGTACCCTTCTGCTGTGTCTTGTCTGTTGCCCCCCGGAAGCCCCTCCCACTCAGGAGCCCCAGGACTTAGAAGGAACCTCAGGCAGGTGACATGTTTCCATCTGGAATCGTTTAATGTGTCTACTTCTTCCACGCATCATTATAAAAGAATAAGAATCGACAAAAATATTTTCTTTCCATAATATGTAGAGGTGGTTTCTGTTTTGTTTTTTTTTTTTTCTTTTCTTTTTACTTTTTTTTTGCCCGCCCCGGCAGAGCTCTTGGCGGGGAGGGAAAGGGAGGAGGAAATATAACCCTGAGGTGGGGATGGTTCAGCTCCCAACCCCGGAACCCCCGGTGTGTACGGGCCAGGCAGACACATGTGGCCAGGCGGCTGGGCTGGGGAGGGGACAGCCGCCACTGACCAGCAGAGCGTAGAAGTTCGGTGCGTTTCAGTGCCTGCCTGAAAGCTTGGGGACAGGAGGGCTGTTCACAGGTGGTGCCCCCTGTGGGCCCTGGCTGCTCCTCATGTGGGGCCCGCATGACCCTCTGCTCCGGCTTGGGAAGAAATGGAGCCTACCAGGTGCTGGGTTGCAACCCCGCTGCCCGGTGTGGACCCCGAGTCTCGATTTAGGCACCCCTTGCTTTCTGTCTTTTGTTTTTTATTTATTGTGAGATGGAGTTTCGCTTTTGTTGCCCAGGCTGGAGTGCAATGACGCAATCTCGGCTCACCGCAACCTCAGCCTTCTAGGTTCCAGCGATTCTCCTGCCTCAGCCTCCCGAGTAGCTGGGATTACAGGCGTGAGCCACCACGCCCGGCTAATTTTTTGTATTTTTAGTAGAGACAGGGTTTCCCCATGTTGGTCAGGCTGGTCTTGAACTCCCGACCTCAGGTGATCCGCCCGCCTCAGCCTCCCAAAGTGCTGGGATTACAGACGTGAGCCACCGCGCCCGGCCTGTCTTTTAAATAATTATGAAAAATATCCCCTCAAACAAAACACAAACATGAAGTGGGGAAGGCTGGCGGGGGGGACAGGCAATTGCATGCTTGGGTGCTGGGGACGGTGGCTGGCCGGGCCAGGGGACCGAGAGGTCACAGGGAGCCCCGGGCGGAGGGCAGCCCGCTCCTCTGAGTCTCTTCTGGCCTCTCCAGTGCCCATCAGTGTGTGACCTCCTCCTCCCAGAAGTTGGGGAGAGGAGGGGCTGGCCTGAGACCACCATCTCTCTATCTTGGCAACCAAGAAGCAGCGGACATAAAACCCAGGAGCATTTTAAAAAGGATAAAAGGCGTCGGGGCGGTGAAGGCAGCGGCTCCTTGGAGCTGGCCAGCGCGGGGCGGGACAAGGTGCCTCATTGGGGCCCGCGGGCCACTCAGTCCCTTCTGCCTGGTCCCCGCGGAGGCTGCAGCCACTTGTGCTGTGATGTGGCGGCTCCCGGCGGGCAGGCTCAGAGGTATTCCTGTAGAAAGTGCAGCAACGTGACTTCATAGTGCTCGCCCGACTCGGGGCAGCGAATACTGTGTCTCTCGTTGGGGTAGATCTGCGGGAAGACAGGAGGCAGGGCTGGGGGACGTGGCTGGACACCCCCTCGTCCTAGGCTCCTCCCTTATTCTGGCTCAGGGCATCCAGGAGTGCCCAGGTGCTCTGAGGCCCACGGATCTGGGTTTGAATCCCACCTCGGCTGTTGACCTGCAGTGTAACTCTAGGCCCCTCTCAAAAATGGGGTGAATCCGGACCTCACAGACTCTTTGGGAAGGTTTGGTAAGACAAAGTTTACAAACACCTTGCAGTGTGCGCTTGCACAGAGCAAAGATTTAGGAAGAAACCGTGTGCCTCTTTCCCCCAAACCTGCTGGCGGGCGAGCAACTCATCTCTGTGGAGGTGGCTGAGGCTTCAAGCCTCAGGAACATCTGTGCCCTGGTCTCGCGCCATTTCCACTTTCCAAAAGGCATGTGACTAGCTCTGGGCCTTAGGACAGCTGTCTCTGAGGATTTCTGAAGTGTTTTCTGGGTCCTCTTAGCACCCAAGGGGGGATCAAGCCAAGAGGCAGGCAGGGACACGGAACTCCCCAGGCTCCTGAGACCTGGCCCAGCCAACACCAGACCCGGGGGTGGATCCACACAGGGGGTGCAGGTCCTGCCTCTGGCCACGAAGGAGGGCTCTGGGGGCACTGATGGACAACCCCTATAGCTCCCCACTGCCCCCTAGGGGTTGGTAGGACCAAGGCATGAAAATAACCCCAGGTTCTCCACAAAGAACCTTGGGACTGGTTGGCAGCAGGGGCAGGTGGCCCATCTACACCACCTCCTGCCAGTGAGATGGGTTTCTGAACCATACCCTCCTCTCCAGGCTCCTGGTCCCCACCCTTGCCCATCACCCTGGGAATGCACCAAGCCACCCACTGGTTTCCCCTCCTCTACTCTTGCCTTCTTTAATCCATCCCTGGATGAATCACGAGTTTGATGACACCATCCCCAACCTAGACCTCTGCAAGGACTTGCCAGTCTGACATCAAGACCAGCTTCCAGGTCCTGCTGCCCCAGGCACCTCAAGGGCCCACTCCTTCCCCAGCCCAGGCACTGGCACTCCCTGGGGCAGACTCTACTGCCCTTGCCACCAGCCATATGTGCATGTTGTGCCCAGGCCTTTATGCCATGCTGGGTCCCAGCTGCCTGGTTACTTTTTCCTCTTGGCCTAAGAGGGCAGAGAGAGGGTCTGTCTGGTTCCCCAGTGAGCTTCCAGACCAAGCCCAGCATGTGACAAATGTGATTTGTGCACAAAGAGGGCCTGGGGCCGCCAGCCACCTGGTCCAGATGTTTTGGGGTCTTTGAAACAGAAGGTGAAGTGCACTCTATCTGTCCCACACAATGCCATGTGCCCACCCCACGGCCTGTCTCATCTCACGTTCCACTTCCTGTGGGGAGGCAGCGAGACAGGACCCTGGGCCCACCCTGCGTGCCGAATGCTTTGCTTTTTCTTTTTTTTGGAGATGAAGTCTCGCTCTGCCGCCCAGGCTGGAGTGCAGTGGCGCGATCTCGGCTTGCTGCAACCTCTGCCTCCCAGGTTCAAGCGATTCTCCTGTCTCAGCCTCCAGAGTAGCTGGGACTACAGGCGTGCGCCACCACACTCGACTAATTTTTGTATTTTTAGTAGCGATGGGGTTTTGCCATGTTGGCCAGGCTGGTCTCAAACTGCTGGCCTCAAGTGATCCACCCGCCTTGGCCTCCCAAAGTGCTGGAATTACAGGCGTGAACCACCACGCCCGGCCTGAATGCTTTGCTGACAGACTTTGGCCCGAGCAGCCTCCGAGGAGGCCGAGTTATCATGTCCGTTTCAAAGCCGCAGAAACGAGGTGTAAGAGTAAATGCTATCCCAGCTGCCTGGCCCCTGGGAGGGCAGTGGGCTCCGGTCTCAGGCTGGGAAGAGACATCTGAAGTTCTATTCCAGCCCCGCCTGACATCACCCCCGGGGCTGCTTGGGATGTAGGGTGTTGGTGGAGGGTGCTGCCAAGAGATCAGCTCATCACGCCACAAGGCGGCTCTGCCTCCCTCCTGCTCTGCGGCCCCATTTCCCGACTCTGTTGAAAGGCAACAGGGCGCTCCCCACCGGACAGAGCACGCCGAGGCGCCCAGGAAGCAGAAATTGTCTGCAGTCCACAGGTATAATAAAACCTGGCCCTCTTGCTTCCAAGATACCTCCCGAATCTCCTGCCGGAACAACTATGGACCACGTCCCACTGTCCCCCACAGGCCGTCCACAAAGCAGCCAGAGAAATGTGGGTCAAACGGCAAGCCGCCCCACTCTATACTCTGCTCACAGGGCCGGGACACCTCCCATCACCCTCAGATGGAAATCCAGCCGAAGCCCAACCCCCACCGAGGCCCCGCCCCTCTACAGCAGAAGCCCCACCCTCCTCACTGAGGCCCCCCATCTCTACAGCAGAAGCCCCACCCTCCTTACCACTGAGGCCCTGTTCCCCGACCGAGCCCCACCCTCTTCACTATAGAGGCCCTTCCTCACACCGAGCCCAACCATTTACTGCAGAAGCCCCACCCACCACAACACTGAGGCCCCGTCCCTCTGCAGAAGCCCCACCCTCCTCGCCAGAGGCCCCGCCCATAACCCATGCCCACCCCTTAGCGCAGAAGCCCCGCCCACCTAGACTGAGCTCTACGTTGCCGCCAAGGATCCATCCACTCCCCCTACTCTCCTGCTGCTCGGTCCCCCAAGCCTGGCTGGCTCCACTCACTCTTAACACCCTTCACTGCTGCCTTCTCAAGGAATGCTTGGCCCCAGCCCCTTAGTAAGGAGCCTACTAGGGCCTTCAGCACCCAGCGGTTTCTTCTACGCAATTTTTCAGTTTCAAATAAAGACCGTCTGTGGGGCAATTTCGGTAAGGGTTCCTCCGTCCATTACGCCCGGAGCAGGGGTGGGTGTGGCAGCCCCCGACCCCGTGCTCCCAGCACCGAAGGCAGGCGGAACCGTGAGCTGTCAAGACAGGACTGATCCATCAATGGCCCCGGGAGCTGGGAGGGCGGGGGCATGGGGCAGTGGGGTGGGGGGCTGGGAGCCCCAGATCCCCAAGGGAACCCCTGATCACAGTGGGAAGCCACCCCGCCCCGCCCCCCACTTCCAGGGCTCTGTCGGCTCGGGGAGGGGCCGAAGCCCCCAAGAGCCACCCACCTGGAGCTGGTAAGGTTTCCCTGCTCGGATCAGTTGGGAGACGAGGAAGTTTGTATGGAAAAAGTGCACGTTTTCATCCAGGAAGCCATGGAGGATGAGCAGGCGGTTGGGCCTGGTAAACAGAGGGGTAAGGGTCTGAGGCCAGGGATTGTCTGCGGGGTAGGAAGGGAACTGATCACAAGGTCAGGAGTTTGAGACCAGCCTGGCCAACATGGTGAAACCCCGTCTCTACTAAAAATATATTTTAAAAAAATTAGCCGGGTATGGTGGCAGGTGCCTGAAATCCCAGCTACTTGGGAGGCTCAGGCAGGAGAACTGCTTGAGACTGGGAGGCAGAGGTTGCAGTATGCTGAGATCGCACCACTGCACTCCAGCCTGGGCAACAGATCGAGACTGCGTCTCCAAAAAAAAAAAAAAAAAGAGATTCAGTAGCAATACATGCCTGTAGTCCAGCTACTGGGTTGGCTGAGGTGGGAGGATCTCTTGAGCCCAGGAGGTGGAGGCTACAGTGAGCTATGATCATATCACTTTCACTCCAGCCTGGGTGACAGAACAAGACCCCATCTCTAAATTAAATTAAAAAAACAAAATAAAAATAAAACCCCAGGTCGGTGCAGTGCCTCATGCCTGTAATCCCAGTACTTTGGGAGGCCAAGCTGGGTAGACTGCTTGAGTCCAGGTGTTTGAGACCAGTTTGGGCAACATGGCAAAACCTTGTCTCTACAAAAATATTTAAAAGTTAGCCAGGCGTGGTGGTGCACACCTGTGGTCCAGCTGCGCCTAAGGCAGGAGGATCACCTGAACCCTGGGAGGGTGCAGTGAGCTATGATTAAAAAAAAAAAAAAAAAAATGCTGGGCACGGTGGCTCACACCTGTAATCCCAGCACTTTGGGAGGCCAAGGCAGGTGGATCACTTGAGGCCAGGAGTTCAAGACCAGCCTGGGCAACATGGTGAAACCCCATTTCTACTAAAGATACAAAAATTAGCTGGGTGTGGTGGTGCACGCCTGTAATTCCAGCTACTCAGGAAGCTGAGGCACGAGAATTGCTTGAACCCGGGAGGTGGAGGTTGCAGTGAGCTGAGATTAAGCCATTGCACTCCAGCCCAAACGACAGAGTGAGACTCTCTCAACAAAACAAAACAAAAACCCACCTAGGTCTGCTGCTCTCTGTGGTCTGGAGTGTGGCCTCACCAGAATCGGCTGCCCTAGCCCTTCCTGTCCGATATGGGAGCCAGTGGCCACACGTTGCTGTTGAAATTCCAGTTTACATTCATCCAAATTAACTGAACTTATAAACCCATTGAGACAGAGCGCAGATTGGTGGCTGTCCCAGGACAGGGGGTGACTGCTAAGGAATGGGAGCAGGGTCTGACGCCGGAGTACTGGAAAGGTTCTGGAGCCAGGGAGCGGCCACACAACACTGCAAATGCACCGAGGGTTGCTTTCAGGTGACTTTTAGGTTCCGTGAACTTCACCACAATAAATTATTACTATTTTTTGAGACAGAGTCTCGCTCTGTTGCCCAGGCTGGAGTGCAGTGGTGTGATCTCAGCTCACTGCGACCTTACCCCTTCCAGGTTCAAGTGATTCTCCTGCCTCGGCCTCCTGAGTAGCTGGGATTACACGTGTGTGTCACCAAACCTGGCTAATTTTTATACTTTTAGTAGAGATGGGTTTTCACCGTGTTGGTTAGGCTGGTCTTGAATTCCTGACCTCAAGCGATCCACCCACCTCAGCCTCCCAAAGTGCTGGGATTACAGATGCGAGCCACTGTGCCTGGCCTATTGTTATTATTATTGTTTTTGAGACAGTTTCTCTGTCGCCCAGGCTGGAGTGCAGTGGCGTGATGTTGGCTCACTACAAACTCCACCTGCCAGGTTCAAGCAATTCTCCTGCCTCAGCCTTCCAAGTAGCTGGCATTACAGGCATGTGCCACCATGCCTGGCTAATTTTTTTTTTTTTTTTTTTTTCCTGCCTCAGCCTTCCAAGTAGCTGGCATTACAGGCATGTGCCACCATGCCTGGCTAATTTTTTTTTTTTTTTTTTTTTTTTTGAGACGGGAGTCTCGCTCTGCCGCCCAGGCTGGAGTGCAGTGGCCGGATCTCAGCTCACTGCAAGCTCCGCCTCCCAGGTTTACGCCATTCTCCTGCCTCGGCCTCCCAAGTAGCTGGGACTACAGGCGCCGCCACCTCGCCCGGCTAGTTTTTTTTTTGTATTTTTTAGTAGAGACGGGGTTTCACCGTGTTACCCAGGATGGTCTCGATCTCCTGACCTCGTGATCCACCCGTCTCGGCCTCCCAAAGTGCTGGGATTACAGGCTTAAGCCACCGCACCCGGCTAATTTTTTATATTTTTTTGTAGAGCTGGGGTTTCACCATGTTGGCCAGGCTGGTCTTGAACTCCTACCTTAAGCGATCCTCCTGCCTTGGCCTTCCAAACTACCTAGGCAGATTTTTTTTTTTTTTTTTTTTTTTTTTTTTTTTTTTTTTTTTTTTTGAGTCGGAGTCTTGCTCTGTTGCCCAGGCTGGAGTGCAGTGGCACTATCTTGGCTCACTGCATGCTCCGCCTCCCGGGTTCATGCCATCCTCCTGCCTCATCCTACTGTATAGCCGGGACTACAGGTGCCCACCACTACACCTAGCTAATTTTTTGTATTTTTAATAGAGATGGGGTTTCATTGTGTTAGCCAGGATGGTCTCGATCTCCTGACCTCGTGATCCACCCGCCTTGGCCTCCCAAAGTGTTGGGATTACAGGTGTGAGCCACCGCGCCTGGCCCATGCCCAGGCAGATTTTTAACCCTCCAGGTGACTGCGCGGGACTCCAGGGAACATGTTCTGGAGACGTGCCAGAAAATGGGAACACTGTTTGCTCTCCATCAGAGAATAAGACCCATGTTAAAAGCACAAAATGGGACATCTGAGCTGGTCCCTGGCCCTGTGGACATCTATGTCCAGAAGCACAAGACAGAGGCTGTGACGGGGCCCCGTGCAGGATGCAGCGCAGGGGAGTGGGGGACGCCTGCCTGTGAAAAGCAGTGACTCGAATTCCCTCATCTTCCCCAGGGCAGGGCTGGGAGCCTCCTTCCCCAGACAAGCATCCCCAGGTGCCCCTTCCTGCAAGGTGCAGTGACAAGAGAGGGTGGGCAGGAGGGGACTGTAAGGCACATGCAGGCAGACGCTACCACAGGAGCACAGGGCAGAGGTGGGAGCATGGCCTGAGGCTCCCGGGCTGGGGCTGGCTGGGGCAGGAGGGCACCCTGATGGAGACAGCAGGTGCCGGGGTGCAGAAGCCCCAGGGAGGACCGCAGGGCGGGGCAGCGGCCTTACTCGTTAGGCAGCTTCTCCACGTGCAGGGCCACGGAACCCGCCTCATAGCCATGCTGGTTGTTCTCGGGGACGTCCATGTAGCGCTCAGTGTACCCTGTGTCGTAGGCCATCCAGACAGTGACTGGGGCGCCCGCGATGGCCACCTGAGGGACACAGCAGACAGATGGGGGCAGAGGGAGAGAGAGAGAAACAGGCGTCGGGTCCTAGAGCCAGCATCAGCCGCTGTCCCGGGGCCGCCCTGGAGCCCGTGAGGAGCGCTCATGCACACAGGACTGGTAATGGAGGGGCCCTCAGACCGCGTGGCCCCTGTGGACGGTGCGTGGCTCGGGGTTGGGCAGGGTGCCACAGGCGGGCAGATGCGGCCCCTCCCCGCCGCCGCAGAGGGCCGGGTCCCACTGCCCGTCTGCCTCCTCCTCCTCCTCATCGCCGCCGCCCCGCAGTGCCCTGACTGCCGCCGGCCTGGGGCCCCCCCGCCGCTCTGCACACCATGCCCCACCTCTGCCCATCCGAGGCCGGGGTCCCGGGCTCAGCCTCCCACAGAGAGCTGCTGGCGGGGTTTTGTGCAGCCGGATGCCATCCTGCGGTCGGCGGTGGCGGGCAATGAGGAGGGGGGCTCGGCCCCGTGGGGCTGCTGCGGGGAGAAACAGCCACGTGGCAAGGCCCCTGCCGAGGCGCCTCCCCGGGGGGTGGGCTCCGGGTGGCGCGGGCGGTGGGCAAACGCGGCGTAGTTGGGGAAGGGGGCGGGGAGGGGCGCGGCTGAGGCCGGCCAGGGGTGGGACTCACCTTGAACACCTGGGGCTTGTGGATTAGCCCCATGAGCGAGAGGAAGCCCCCGTAGGACCAGCCATGGATGGCAACTCGGCTCAGGTCGATGAAGCCATACTTCTCCGCCACGAACTGCAGGCCCTCCACCTGGTCCTCGATCTCCACCTGGCCCTGAGGGATGAAGCCGGGCACCTCTCAGTGGCCTCCTCCCGGTGTGCCCCTCCCCTGCAGTGACACCTCTGCTCCTTTCAGGGCATCTCTCCTTGTTGGATGAAAAGTGGCTCACTGGAAACCCCCTGTCCCTCCAGGCCCTGCCAACCTTGCCCGCTATCTGGGGGTGGCTGGACAGATCCAGCAGCCACCCTGCTCTGCCACCTCCCAGGTGAGTGGCTCTGGGGGCCACGTCCCCTCTCAGGGCCTCAGTTTGCCCATCCCTAATACAGGGACATTAACAGGAAGAGGACCCATTTTCCAAAGGGCACGAGGAAGAAAAAGACAGGGGTGCCCAGGCATGTGCAGGGGCACAAAGAATGGCTGGTGCCGTCACCGTCGTCACTACCAGCCACATCCCCACCACCGCCACTGCCACGGTTTCAATGCTGGTGTCCCCTCTGAAGTCCGTGCTGAGATCCCCACTGCGGCCTTTAAGTGACTGAGCCATGGGGCCCACTCATGTGAATGGGATGAGGGGCCCTTATAAACGGGCCTGATGGAGGGAGGGCACGCCTTTTCCGCCCCTCGCAACCCCTCTGCCGTGTAGGAGGCAGCACAGGGCCCCTCTGGAAGGTGTGCCAACCAAGCGTCCTCCTGGGAACAGAGCAGCCCTCCCAGACACAGCCCTGCCTTGGCCTTGGACCTCCCAGCCTCCAGAACTGAGAGGGACTTTCATTCTATAAATCCCCAGGCTGTGGGGGTTTGTTCCAGGAGCGCAAAGCGGCTGAGATGGTCGACATCACCACCGTCGTCATCACCACTGTCGGCACAACTTCCACGGCCACTGGCCCTGGCCAGCCCCGCCCTGGGGGACTTCCTGCGGACCCGGCCCCGCCTGCAGTGTCTAGCTGCATCTAGGTTGCAGCCTCTTGGGTTCTGTGTGCTCAGGCACCAGGCAGGATGGACGGATGCCACTGTCCCTGCAGGGCACAGCCCAGAGCTGAGCAGCAAAGCATACGTCCCCTTTTGTTGTAAAAGGTTGTCTCATTGAGCCTGCGTCACCCCAGCCATAAGTGCCCTTCTGCAGGGGGCATTCCAGAGCCCCCCCACACCCCACACCCACACGGCCCAGGGCTCCCTTCCCAAGAGCGGAAGGACCCAGAGCAACAGGGAGGAGTTATTACCATTTGGTTTTTCAGGGCCCCTTCGAACCGAAGCCCCCGCTGGCAGGAGCCCCTGCCGTCAATCACGACCACGGCGTAGCCCAGGGAGGCCAGCGTGTTGAGCCGCAAGTACTTGATGCCTTTGAAGGAGTTATTCACCAGCTGCACCTGTGGGGAGGTGAGGGGCAGCAGTACAGCAGGAGATGCCGGGCAGGACGGGCTGAGCAGGGGAGATGCCGGCAGGCTGGGGACTGGGCTGGGCCAGGCGGGGGCCTTAGAGCCTAATGAAGGCACCTGTGCCCTGGAGGCTCTGGATGGACACCTGGGAGTGACAAGGCGCGAGGGGCCCACACTCGGGACCCTGCTTGGGAGAAGGGAAGGCCGCTGTCAGGCTCCTTCTCAGCTGGGCCACTGCCCCAGTCCTGCCTGGAACCACCACTCTGGCACGATGGACAGTGGGGTGGCTCACTCTCAGGTGGGGCCACCTGGGCGCTGCGGGGTGCTGAGCAGTCACTCTGGGCCAGGAGAACTCCCAGTGGTGATGAACCACAAAGTCCCCAGACATCACCCCGTATCCTCTGGGGGAACAGAGCTGCTCTGGGTAAGATGTGCGCCTGAGATGGTCCACCTGCCAATCTGCTGCCTGCTCCTGGCCCCTGCTCCAGGTATTGCGCCCAGGGCCCATGGCCACCTCTATACCAACCTGGAGACTAGGGGGCTTCCCAGAGGAACAGGGGAGTCAGCAGGTGGAGGGGTAAGGGGAGGTCATCCGGGCAGGGTGGGGAGCATGCAAACGGGCACAGAGGCAGAAGAGTGAGGGGTTCCGAGGACCCTGTGTAGTCAGGGCAGGCGGGATGGGCTGGAGCACCAGGCAGGTGGCCAGGGAGCCTCCTCCGGTTGACCCTTCTATGGCTGGCGCTTGAGTAGGGATGGGGAGTCCTCAGGTGGATGGTGGGGTGGGGGCCTTGGGGAGCAGGTGTGCACCCACCTGGGGGCCTCCATATACAAAGAGGACGGTGGGGTGCTTCTTCCCTGGCTGCAAGGCGTGGGGCTTGTAGATCATGCCATAGAGCCGCACGTCTGAGCGCGTGTGGAAGTGGAAGATCTCTGGAGGCACGTAATCCGGGGGGCAGCCTGCGGGAGACAGGGTGGCTATCTGGCTGCCCGGGGAAGCCACATCTGGCCGACACGCTTGTTCTCCTGCCCACCCCAAGCCTCGGAGGGTGGACCAAAGCACCTCCTCTTTTCCTGGGCTTCCCGAGAGTTGATAATTGAAAAAAAAAACATTTTTTAAAATTAAAATAAGATTTGTACAGTTTTTGTAGAGATGGGGTCTCATCTCCCTGTTGCCCAAGCTGGTCTCAACTTCCTGGCCTCAAGCGATCCTCCCACCTCGGCTTCCTGAGTAGGGTCACTGCTATTTTTGCAAAGCAACAGTGGTTGTCCAATTAGGATAGTGGGGGTTTTTCGTGTTTTTTTGTTGTTTTTTTTTTTAAATTTTTAAAAATTTTTATGTTTTTTCTCTTTATTTATTTATTTTTTGAGACAGAGTCTGTTGCCAGGCTGGAGTATAGGTGGCGTGATCTCAGCTCACTGTAACCTCTGCCTCCCGGGTTCAAGCGATTCTTCTGCCTCAGCCTCCCGAGTAGCTGGGATTACAGGCACACGCCACCATGCCCGGCTAATTTTTTTGTATTTTTAGTAGAGATGGGGTTTCACCATGTTGGCCAGGATGGTCTCGATCTCTTGACCTCGTGATCCACCCGCCTCAGCCTCCCGAAGTGCTAGGATTACAGGTGTGAGCCACAATGCCTGGCCCTCTTTTTCTTTTTTTTTTTCAAGACAAAGTCTTGTGATCTCGGCTCACTGCAACCTCCACCTCCTGGGTTCAAGTGATTCTCCTGCCTCAGCCTCCTGAGTAGGTAGGATTATAGGTGCATGGCACCACACCCGGCCAATTTTTTTGTATTTTTAGTAGAGAGAGGGTTTTACCATGTCGGCCTAACTTGTCTCGAATTGCTTGGTTTTTTTGTTTTTTGTTTTTTTGTTGATGTTGTTGTTGAGACGGATTCTCATTCTGTCACCCAGGCTGGAGTGCAGTGGCGTGATCTCAGCTCACTGCAACCTGCACCTTCCGGGTTTGAGCAATTCTCCTGCCTCAGCTTCTCCAATAGCTGGGATTACACATGCTCGCCACCATGCTTGGCTAATTTTTGTATTTTAGTAGAGATGGGTTGGTCTCTACTAAATTGGCCAGGTTGGTCTCGAAATCCTGTCCTTGGGTGATCCACCCACCTTGGTCTCCCAAAGTGCTGGGATTATAGACGTGAGCCACCACAGCCAGCCATCGAACTCCTGACCTCAGGTGACCTGCCCACCTTGGCCTCCCAAAGTGCTGGGATTACAGGCATGAGGCACTGCACCTGGCCCAGTTTTTTCTTTAAATAAATGTATGTAGATAAATTTTGGTGGGGCAATTTATAGGAAGATGAGTAAAGGGTACTACAGGTCTACGTGTAGCAGAAGTTTACTGTGGAGGGCCAGATAGCAAATATATTGGGCTCTGGGAACTGGGCGTGGCAGGGCATACACTCTGTGCTGTGTCTCTGTGTCATCTGTTGCAGTAGCGCTATGTGGCCACAGACCACACAGAGGGACTGCACGTGGCTGGATTTGACAGCAGTCGGCCTGCTCCTAGTGCAAGCAGTCTTCAAACGTAGTACAGATTGGGAGTTTCGGGAAACAGTGCCTCGATCCTCAGGGCACTGGGGTTCTGGTTTCTGCCCCCACTGCTAGGCTGGGTGCCCTGCTGAGCCCCTTCCCCTCCTTGGCCCCCATCTCTTCATCTGAAGCCAGGGCCCCAGCTCCTGGCCGTGTCGGTGTGGACAGGAGGGGGAGGACTGGGCTGTGGAGGGAGGCCTGGGATCTGTTTCTGCTCAGGGGGTGAGGGCATCACAAAATGCTTTCCAGCCCACATAATACCCGGCATATGCTGGAAACTCGTTGTGTCTAGAATGTTCTGGAAGCCCACCAACACAGCAGAGACAGGCCAGGGTGGATTGTCCTTGTACTGAGTGATGCCTGGGAGCCTGGCAGTGTGCTGACCCACTGGTTTTCATCCTGCACTCTGTATATACAGTTTCGTTGATAAAGAAACACTTCATAGTGATACGTTGATGTGTGTGACGGAGCCAGCACTGGAACCCGGAGTCACCAATGCAGGGTCCTGGCCAACCTCCAGGTTCTGGGCAAGGTGTCAGGTTGCCTCATTTCCTGAGGCCCCACTGTGACTGACCCTTTGCTCCTTTTCCTGATAAAGGCTTCAGAGTGTTGACTCTGAGCAGGTGCTGCTGTAAGCGGCAGTCTCTGGGCCCGGGACACCGTAAAGGGCCCTCTGTGTGCTGCTGTGGCCAGGACTCCAGGGTTCTGGAGAAGGTGAAGTGGAAAGCCTGATAACCACGGCGGGTTTCAAAGCAGTGTGGGTGGACTCTGGCATCCCGGCCACCCCTGTATGGAACGCCACTGTTCAAAATGTTTTTTGGTTTTTTTTGAGATGGAGTCTCACTCTGTCGCCCAGGCTGGAGTGTGGTGGAGTGATCTCAGCTCACCGCAACCTCTGCCTCCCGGATTCATGCCATTCTCCTGCCTCAGCCTCCTGAGTAGTTGAGACTACAGGCGCCCGCCACCACGCCCGGCTAATTTTTTGTATTTCTAATAGAGATGAGGTTTCACCATGTTAGCCAGGATGGTCTCAATCTCCTAACCTCGTGATCCGCCCGCCTCAGCCTCCCAAAGTGCTGGGATTACAGGCGTGAGCCACTGCGCCTGGCCCAAAATGTTTTTAATTTTTAATTTTTCTAAGAGTCAGGGTCTTGCTCTGTTGCCCAGGCTGGAGTGCAGTGGTACAATCACAGCTCACTGCAGCCTCCAACTTCTGGGCTCAAACGATCCCCCCACCTCAATCTCCTGAGTAGCTAGGACTACGGGTGCACACTACTACACCCAGCTAATTTTTAACAGTTTTGTAGACGGGGGTCTTGCTGTGTTGCTCAGGCTGGTCTCAAACTCCTAGGCTCAAGCAATCCTCCTGCCTTGGCCTCAAAAGCACTGGGATTACAGGCAGGAGCCACTGCGCTGGCTGATGAAAATGTTTACTTGTCACCTGCCCACTACCCTGGGAGCTCCCAGTGACAGGGTCTGTGTCTCACTGGTTACTGTTTTGGCAGGGGGCTGGCACGGAGCTGCATCCCTGCCGGGTTCTGTGCAGGGCAGCCCTTTACTGCAGCTCGGACCAGGACTGTCTCAGACGGCAGGGGCTGCTGCTTATGTCCTATGACAAGTTCCCGATGCCTGAGAGGGGCCTGGGTGCTGTGCGAGGCCAAGCAGGCCGGCTCCAGGCCTCTGCCTCTTCCCGCAGCATGGGGCCCTTGTCCCGTTTTACAGCTGGGGGAGCAGAGGCTCCCGTGGGGTGGGGCAGGGGCTACTCACTGGCTGCTTCCATCATGCTGGCCCAGAAGCGGGGCTGCTTGTGCAGGGGGTCGTCGTCGGGGCCGCTCAGCTTGTAGACGTGCACGCAGGGTGGCGTGCTCACACTGCTGTAGTGGCTGACGAACATGTCGAAGTTCTGGGGGTGGAATGCGGCGATGAGCTCCCCGGGACGCTGCCACCCCCTTTCCACTGGGTGCCGACCGCAAATCCCGGGCAGCTTCCCTCCCGCCCGCCCCCATCCTGTCATGAAACCTCAAAGCTCCACCCACTGCTGCAAGGTGGGCACCACTGCTGTCGCCCCATTCTGCAGAGCAGGAAACTGAGGCCAGGAGGAGTCTGTCCCATGGCCAGGGGCCCGTGGACAGTCACCAACACCCTGGATCTGCTGAGGGCTCTGCCACTGCCCAGGCCTGCACACTTGCTGGTTCCACAGCTGGCAAACTGCAGCCGACTCATGCCCTGGACTAGGGGTGGCCCTCTGCATGGCCACCACCAGACATTCTAGAATGTTCTGAGAGGCTAAGGGCCATATCCCACTGCACACAGAGCGGCAGGGCCCAGGCTCAGTGGACAGGCACTGGGGGGCTCCACCACTTACTAGCCTGGGGGTGGCAGTGGGCAATTCACTCCCTTCCTTGCCTTACCCAGGAGGCAGGGGTAGGCACCACTTGCCCCAAGGCAGCTATGAGAATGCAAAACCATGAGAGTGGCCCTGAGTGCTATGCCCGGCCATCAGGCACTGCTCTGGCTGGGAGCTGTTGGACAGGCACAGGGCAGTGCTGTGAGGCTGGGCGGTACCCACCTGGCTCATGGAGCAGCTGTGGGAGAAGCCGGGCGTGGTGAGGCGCACGATCTCCCCGGCCGCCTCATAGCTGACCACGTAGAGGTGGTGCTCCAGCGGCGTGTCCTTGGTGCCCTGGAAGTACACCAGCTTGGTCTCCTCGTTGACCCAGATCTGCAGGGGGACAGGAGGTCCTCGTGATGCATCCCAGATGCCCCTGGGCCCACGCCCCTCTCCATGCCCCACAGGAGTGGGTCCCATGTTCCTCGGACTGGGTACGCACGCTGTTCTCTCCCAAGTCTGCTTTAGGGCTGGAGATGAACCGTCCCTGAAAGATGCCCTTATCTGGCCCCGAGGGCTGGGAGCAGCCCCTGGTCGAGCTGGGAACTGCGCATCCTCAGGTGGGACCTGGGGCCTGAACTCCACCCCCAGGCGACTCTCTCTGGGCTTGAATTGGGAGGGCCTGCCAAGCCAGGTGGGAAGGCCAGGGAGGGCACCGTGCCTAAGACAGAGGCTCAGGGGAACCCAGCAGTCCCCAGCCTGGTCAGCCATTCCTCTAACCCAGGTGCTTGGGTTCAGAAGTGGCAAGGCCCTGCCTTTCTGTGGGAAGCCCTAGTAGTGGCATCTCCTGGAGGAGCAGGAGGACAGCCTGCACTGCGTGGAGCAGCGGGGCCCCTCCTTCACCTGCGCTGGGACACTAATGGCCTGGAAACAACTGCTGCTGCCCGGGAGCGAGCAGGCTTTGGCTGATGCCTGGGAAGGAGCCAGGAGGCCTCAGAGCCCTGAGGGAGGAGAGGGCATCGCCCCGTGCCCAGGGCCTGAGAGGCCGGTGGAGGCAGCTGGAGCCTGGGGTGACTAGGGACCCCAGGACGTGAAGAAACTGAGGGTAAGTGGTCTCCCGGGACAGCGGGGCACGGGCTTGCAGTGCGGGGAGCATTGTACCCCACAACGGGGCAGCGGGACGCATGGCCCCAGAAGGCCTGCAGAGGACACGCTTCCTCTTTCATGATTTCTAAAAGGCTTCCAATGTTTTCCTTAATTTCAGGGTGAAAGGATAAAGCACATGAATGGCACAACGTTCAAGAGGAGACGGGGAGGTGATGAAATGATTGGCTTGTGTGTACGGTAGACACTGCTGAGGCCTGCAAAGTGCTGTCAAGCAGGGTCCTCACAGGTCTGTGTGCCTGTGCACGCACGTGAGTGTGTGTGTGCATGTGTGTGAGAACGAGTATGTGTGTGAGTCTATGTGTGTGCATGTGTGTGAGAATGTGTGTGTGTGTGTAAAACACACGTGTGGAGCAGGGGAAGGCTGCAAGAGACCCTGGTACCTTGGAGCCGTGCCTCGCCAAAACCTCCCATTCACCGCTGGTCAGAGCAATCTCTTCCTTAATAGGGCACTTAAATTCATCTGGAAGGAAAGAAAGAAGGGAGGTGAAGGGGCCTGGGAGGTGATGCAGGCACCCAGGCCAAATTCCACCCAAGGAGACTCGCCATGGAGCCACTGAAACCCTGGGTTGCCGTGAACTCAAGACACCAGCACAGGCCACTGCGTCAGACCTGCCAGACAGGAGAGGAGGCCTGCGGGGCCTGTTCCTGACATGTGGATGGCAGGCCCGGTGTTTCCCACGAGAAACCAGGAGGCCCCTGGCTCACTACTGTAATCCCAGCACTTTGGGAGGCTGAGGCAGGAGGATTGCTTGAGGTCAGGAGTTTGAGACCAGCCTGGGCAACATAGTGAGACCCTGTCTCTCCAAAAAAAAAATAAAAATTAGTCAGGCATGGTGACGTGTGTGCTGTGGTCCAAGCTACTTGGGAGATTGAGTTGGGAGGACTGCTTGAGCCCAGGAGGATGAGGCTGTGGTGAGCCATGATCACACCACTGCCACTCCAGCCTGGGTGACAGAGCAAGAACCCGTCTCAAAAAAAAAAAAAACCCCGAAGAGAAACCAGGAGTCTGGATTTTCATTGGAATTTCCCAATTTTAGAACCCTCCAAAGGCCACATGACATGTGTGTGCGGCACAGGGGTGGGGGGTGGGAGGTGGAGCCAACTGGGTCTATGACCTCTTAGGACACATCAGGACTTTGTAGAACCAGACTTTTTTTTCTTTTTTAAAGACAAAGTCTTGCTCTTGTCGCCCAGGCTGGAGTGCAATGGCGCAATTTCGGCTCACTGCAACCTCCGTCTCCTGGGTTCAAGTGATTCTTCTGCCTCAGCCTCCCAAGTAGCTGGGATTATAGGCGCCTGCCACCATGCCCAGCTAGACTTTGTATTTTTAGTAGAGACGGGGTTTCACCATGTTGGTCAAGCTGGTCTCCAACTCCTGACCTCAGGTGATCTACCTGCCTCAGCCTCCCAAATTGCTGGGATTACAGGCATGAGCCACTGCGCCTGGCCGACTTTTTTAGGGGAGCGAGGGGGTAGAGACAGGGTCTAACTATGTTGCCCAGGCTGGCCTTAAACTCCTGGGCTCAAGCGATCCTCCCACCTCAGCCTCCCAAAGTGCTGGGATTCCAGGTGTGAGCCACGACCCCGGCTGGAACAAGACGCTGGTGAAAGCTAGGGCTAGAGACCAGGGCTCTGCTGGTTTTATTACTGTTTTTTGTGGGGGTAGGAGGGTTGATCTCACGTTTGAATTTTCACCAGGTAAAGAATGACAGTGCGGGGCGTATCATGGCATGCAGCAGAAACACACTGAGACGGTTTGTAACTGAGGGCTCACTGTCCTTTCTTAACCTTTTAGGTCTAAACAAGCTGTTGGAAACGTGTCTGTCAGGAGGGACGAACAGCACGGGAGGATAGACGTGGTTTCCCTGGCGTAAAGGTCTGGGTACGGTTACTTGTAGCATCGGGACCTGGGGAGGACAGGGGTTCCCACCCAGCCCCAAGACCCAGGCTCCTGCCCACGTCCTGATGTGTTCCTTCTGATGCAACGTCACTTGGGGTCACCTCCTTGCCATGCACCTGCCGTCTAGGAGATGCATGGTGTGTGCTGGGGGCTGAGCAGGGTGCTGGGAAATCTGGTGTGCCCACCTCACAGGCCAGGGGTCCCTGGTGACACTGCAGCAGCCTGGAGGGTCTGTGCCCCTGGAAAGTGGCAGCTGTGGCTGGCTCTACTTGAGACCACATTTGAAACATGAGTGCTCGGGCCAGCCCATTTTCCCATAGGGGGCAAAACGAGCATGTACATGAAATCCCAATGCCAGGTGGTGGTGGCTAAGCCAGACAGACAGAAAGCAAAACACCAATGAGCCGAAGACAGCTCCCCTTCAAGATGCTCAGCCAGTGTGCACTGGCTGCATCCCACCCAGGAGGACCCTGATGCTGGCCTGAGGCAGTTGTCACTCCTCGGTCCACATTGTACTCAGCTCTGCGGCAGCCTACGGCATCGCCCATCCCTGGCTCATTCGCCCGTCAGCTCCTGCACTCCCGGACGCCTCGCTCCCTGGGGTCTCTGTCCCCTGTGTTGGGGGACACCTTGGCTGCTGTGTGGGCTCTGCCCTCAGAGGGCACCGGACCACATTTAGGGACATCTGTGGTTGTCACAACTGGAGGTGCTCCTGGCATGGAGTGGGTGGAGGCCAAGGACGCCGCTCGGTGCACAGGAAGGCCCCACCCCAGAGAACCACCCGGCCCTGGCGTCCATGGTGTCCCTGTTCTAACCTGGAAGAGCCCGGGCCCGGCTCCTGGACCACCCCGCCTCTCTATCCAGACGTGACCTTTGGGAGCTCTGTCCTGTCCCGGGACAGAGTCGACAGCATTCGTCAGGCTCTGCTCACCTTCCCTGGGGCTGAAGGGCTCACTCCAGTCGTAGCCCTGGGATTTTAAAACGGCGGTGACTTTGTACAAATGGCAGAAGCCAGTCTTGCACTCATTGGCGCGGAGAAAGCAGAGCTCGTCCTCTCCCTCTGATTGGGGGAAGGGATAGAAGATGTCATGAACCTGTCCGGAAAGGGGAAAGAAGATGCGTCAGAAGGTGTGGGTGGCTGGGCATGGTGGCTCACACCAGTAATCCCGGTAGTTTGGGAGGCTGGGGCAAGAGACTTGCTTGAGCCCAGGAGTTTGAGAGATCAGCCTGGACAACATAGTAAGACTCCACCTCTAAAAATAAATAAATAAATTAGCCAGGCATTGTGGTGCAGGCTTGTAGTCCTAGCTACTCAGGAGGCTGAGGCGGGAGGATCACTTAAGCCCAGGAGGTCGAGGCTGCAGCGAGCTATGACTGTACCACTGCACTCCAGTCTGGACAACAGAGCAACCCTGTCTCTAATTAGGAAAAAATAAAATTAAAATAAAAAGCCAGACGCGATGGCTCACACCTGTAATCCCAGCACTTTGGGAGGCTGAGGCAGGTGGATCACAAGGGCAGGAGATCGAGACCATCCTGGCTAACACGGTGAAACTCCATCTCTACTAAAAATACAAAAAATTAGCTGGGCGTGGTGGCACGCGCCTGTAATCCCAGCTACTCGGTAGGCTGAGACAGGATAATTGTGAGACAGGATAATTGCTTGAACCCGGGGGGAGGCGGAGGTTGCAGTGAGCTGAGACTGTGCCACTGCACTCCAGCCTGGGTGACAGAGCGAGACTATCTCAAAAAAAAAAAAAAAAAAAAAAAGATGAGGGGAGAGGCTCCAATAGCTGCCAGACTCACCAGCTCCGCAGACCCTCTTCCCTGCCAGCCAGGGATGGCCAAGGCCTGAGCTCACTTCTCCAAATAAGGGCAAACCCCACCCGTCATTGGCACTCAGCCTTCTGGGACGTAGAGGTGGGGGCAGTGTGACTTCAGGGCCCAGGCAGACCAGACACACAGCTAGCGCTTGTCCCGCTTACATTGATCCAGACGTTGGTGACCTCCTCGTACACCACATACGGCTGGATGTTCCTGGGGACGGCTCTGGCAGAGGCTAGCCGCTGCTCCTCATTCTCTGTGCTTGGGATGAACAGGGCCGGGGGGAGGAGGACGAGCTGGAGCCACTGCTGGGGACGGTCCAGGAACATGGCCCAGGCACTGAGGGGGGAAGATGGATGGGAAGATGGGAGGGAAGCCGGGAGCCTCAGTCCTGCAGAGAGAAGCTGGGGACGCAGCGTCCAAACCCGTGTGGAATTAGGGCTGGGCCTCCTGCGCTGGCTTCACCTGCACTTGGCCAAGTAACCCCACAGCACCCACAAGCTTCCTTCCTGGAACATGCTTAGGGGAGGACAGGATGGGTGATGAGACTCCATGATCCAAGTGTTCTGGAAACAATGGCCTCTCCGCTTTTAGAGGTGGAAACGAGGAGAAACTGTAATAGTTTCTCCTCTTCACTGACTCCTCGGCCCACAGTTGCTATCCTTTATTTCATAGCTTGCTTTATTTTATTTATTTGTTTGTTTAATTTTTTGAGACAGAGTTTCACTCTTGTCCAGGCTGAAGTGTAGTGGCACAATCTGGGCTCACTGCAACCTCCACATTCGCGGTTCAAGCGATTCTCCTGCCTCAGCCTCCTGCGTATCTAGGATTATAGGTGCCTGCCACCACACCTGGCTATTTTTTGTATTTTTAGTAGAGACGGGGTTTCACCATGTTGCCCAGGCTGGTCTCGAACTCCTGAACTCAGATGATATGCCAGCCCCAGCCTCCTAAAGTGCTGGGTTTACAGATGTGAGCCACTGCACCTGGCCTAAATGAACAATTTTTAAACTTGAATTTATTTTAAGAGGAGATGTCAGAATTCTACGTGGAAAAGAAGCACCTCCACACAAAGAGAGAACAACGAAAACCAAACCAAAGGGAAGCATCACAGGGATGTAAAATACTAACTAGAGCGCGTGCTGGGGCTCAGGCCTGCAATCCAAGCACTTTAAGAGGCTGAGGTGGGTGGATCGCTTGAGCCCAGAAGTCCAAGACCCACATGGGCGACATGCAAGACCTTGTCTCTACAAAAAAAAAAAAAAAAAAAAACACTCCAGGCACAGTGGCTCACGCCTATAATCCCAGCACTTTGGGAAGCTGAGGTGGGCAGATCACAAGGTCAAGAGTTCGAGACCGTCCTGGTCAACATGGCTGAAACGCCGTCCCTACTAAAAATACAAAAATTAGTTGGGCATGGTGGTACGTGCCTGTAATCCCAGCTACTCGGGAGGCTGAGGCAGGAAAATTGCTTGAACCTGGGAGTCAGAGGTTGCAGTGAGCCAAGATTGCGCCGTTGCACTCCACCCTGGCGAAAAAGCAAGCCCCCATCCAAAAAAAAAAAAAAAAAAAAATTAAAATATTAGCCGGGCGTGGTGACTTACACCCACAGTCCTAGCAAACGTACATATGGAAGCAGCACATAATAGAATTCATTGTTAACATTCCATTGGAAGGCCGGGCGTGGTGGCTCACGCCTGTAATCCCAGCACTTTGGGAGGCCAAGGCAGGCGGATCACAAGGTCAGGAGATCGAGACTATCCTGGCTAACACGGTGAGACCCTGTCTCTACTAAAAATATAAAAATTTAGCCGGGCATGGTGGCGGGCGCCTGTGGTCCCAGCTACTCGGGAGGCTGAGGCAGGAGAATGGCGTGAACCCGGGAAGCAGAGCTTGCAGTGAGCCGAGATCGAGCCACTGCACTCCAGCCTCGGTGACAGAGCGAGACTCCATCTCAAAAAAAACACAAAAAACAATAACAACAAAAAAATTATTAGCCAGGCATGGTGGCTCTGGCCTGTGACCCTAAGTTCTCAGGAGGCTGAGGTCGGGGGAATGCTTGAGCCTAGGAGTTCAGGGGTGCAGTGAGCTATGATTGTGCCACTACCCTTCAGCCTGGGCCATAGAGCAAGACCCCATTTTTACACAAAATATAAAAGGAAAGGAGGCCTAGCAAGTGTGTAGGGCAGGGGAAGCAGTTTTTCTGTGAAACAGGCCCGGATACGAAATACTTTCAGCTTGGTGGGTCATAGTTTCTATCACAGCTACTCAATTCTGCCACTGACGGTCTGCAAACAAGTGGGCGTGGCTGTGTGCCAACACAACTTTATGCATGGACGCTGAGATGTGAATTTCACATCACTTCCATGTGTGATAAAATCTGCTGTGGATCCCCTCCCTTCTGCCCCCAATCATTTAAAAGCATAAATGCCACGGCAGAGGTGGGCCAATCACCTAAGGCCAGGAGTTCAAGACCAGTCTGGTCAACATGGTGAAACTCTGTCTCTACTAAAAATACAAAAATCAGCCGGGCATGGTGGCGGGTGCCTGTAGTCACAGCTACTCGGGAGGCTGAGACAGAAGAATCTCTTGAATCCAGGAGACGACAGTTGCAGTGAACCGAGATTGCACCACTGCATTCCAGCCTGGGCAATAGAGTGAGACTTCATCTCAAATAATAATAATAATAAATAAATAAATAAAAGCATAACTGCCGGCCAGGCACTGTCTCACACCTGTAATCCCAGCACTTTGGGAGGCCAAGGCGGGTAGATCACGAGGTCAGATCGAGACCATCCTGGCTAACACAGTGAAACCCCCGTCTCTACTAAAAATAAAAAAAATTAGCCGGGCGTGGTGGCAGGCGCCTGTAGTCCCAGCTACTCAGGAGGCTGAGGCAGGAGAATGGCATGAACCTGGGAGGCGGAGCTTGCAGTGACTGAGATTGCGCCACTGCACTCCAGCCTGGGCGACAGAGCAAGACTCCATCTCGGGGCAGCGGGGGAAGCGTAACTGCCATTTTGAGCTCATGGGATGTATAAAAACAGGCAGACAGCCGGGCGCGGTGGCTCTCACCTGTAATCCCAGCACTTTGGGAGGCCGAGATGGGTGGATCACGAGGTCAAGAGTTCAAGACCAGCCTGGCCAAGATGCTGAAACCCCATCTCTACTAAAAATACAAAAATTAGCCAGGCGTGGTGGCAGGCGCCTGTAATCCCAGCTACTTGGGAGGCTGAGGCAGAAGAATTGCTTGAACTCAGGCGGCAGAGGTTGCAGTGAGCCGAGATCACGCCACTGCACTCCAGCCTGGGTGACAGAGCAAGTCTCCGTCTCAAAAAAAAAAAAAAAAAAAACAAAACAGGCAGAGGCTGAATTTTGCCCACTGGGGTTTGGGGCCCCCGTTTAGGGAAGCGGTAGAGTTTTCTCCTCGACAAGGGTGGGAGGCTGGGGAGTGAGTACAGGGGAGCACCTCTACTTTGTGACTGAGTTTTTCTGAGTCTGAGGTCTGGAAACACCTGAAATCCCCTCTGTAGGTCTCCTCCACACTCTGGGTAACTGGATCAGCGTGTCCTAGTGGTACTAACACTGGGACTCATAAGTCCAGTGTGTCATCCTCAGACTGGCTGAGGTCAGGAAGGCCCTTTGGACACTGGGCTGAGGCCTGTCCTGGCAGTGGCACTGCGGAAAGACATGTGAGCAGATGGAAGGAATGGCACGAAAGGCCAGGAGGCAGATTCAGTGGCTGCTCAGGGTCCAGGGCCCCGCAGGTGAATTCCTCAGGTTCCAGCCGGAGACACTCACTATTTGCCATCCCGGGTCCACCCGGCCCTGGCGATGTACTCCACCTTCGGGAACAGCGAGCTGAAGGGTTGCACCAGCTCCTTCTCCTGGGTCGAGACAATCTGAAGGGAAACAGGTGTGGGTCATGCCCTGGCCTGCCTGGCGCTGCTCGGAGGAGGCGGCCACTGCGCAGGGTCCCGTCATGTTCCCCCCAGATTCATATGATGGAGTCTCAGCCTCCAGAACCCCAGAACGCGACCTTCTTTGGAAATGGGGCCACTGGAGATGTGCTGAGTTAAGACAAGGTTGTGCGGACAAGGGTGGGGCCTGATCCAGCATGACTGCTATCCTTACAGGGGGACACGTGGACATAGACACACAGAGGGAGGCCGTTTGGAGAAGAGAATCGGGAAGCAACGGCCACCAAGAAGCCATGGAGAAGGAGCCCCCTGCCAGCACCTTGGTGTTGGACATTGTCAATTTCAACTGAGTTCCCAGTCTGTGGTCCTTTGTCATGGCCTGAACAAACGACTACACCCAACCGGGGCAGGTGGGCTGGGCGAGCCAATGGCGGTACCCCAGTGGGTGCCTGGACCCCAAGGCTCTGGTCTGGGCTATCCCTTAGAGCCAGGTGGCTCTGGGCAAGCACAGTCCCCAGACCCAGGGCTTCCCCATGTTAAACGGGGCTGGCACAGCGTGTCCAGGGTATTGAGAGACAGGAGACCTGGGGCTTCCTCGAACCTAAATGGGGCTGACATGGGATCTCCAGGGGATCTAGAGAAAGGGGACCTAGGGCTTCCTTGTGCCTAAACGGGGCTGGCACGGCATCTCTGGGGGATCGAAGGGAGAAACGGCAGCAGGGCCTCCAGCTCTACCACTTGAGTGGGTCACCAGTCCCACATCTCCAAGCCGCCTTGTTTGATTGGCGTCACCCAAGTCCACCTAAGGACTCTGCACGTCTGAGAGTGCAAGGAGCCACTAAAACAGTCTGGCGGGGCCAGGTGCAGTGGCTCACACCTATAATCCCAGCGGTTTGGGAGGCCGAGGCAGGTGGATCACTTGAGGTCAGGAGTTCGAGACCAGCCTGGGGAACATGGCAAGACCCCATCTCTACAAAACCCACAATTAGTTAGGTGTGGTGGTGCATGCCTGTAGTCCCAGCTACTCAGAGGCTGAGGCGAGAGGATTGCCTTGAGCCTGGGAGGTTGAGGCTGCAGTGGGTCATGATTGCACCAGTCTACTCCAGCCTAGATGACAGTGAGACCCTGTCTCAAAAAACAAGAACAAACAAGCAAAGCAAAAGCCCAGCCTGGAGGGAGGTTTCAGGTGGATCACTGGCAAGGCCACTCAGACTGACCGCCTCAAATCCGCCAGAATGCTCTGTCAAGAATGCAAAAGAGGTTTGGAGAGGGCCTAACCAGGTCAAAAAGCACCCACAACCCTCCAAATTATGAAAACAGGTACGTTTTATCTTACATGCTTCCCCAAAACATTGTATCATTTTTGCAAAAGTGCACAAGGGCCTCCTTGGTTTGTCCTGGCCTCCCATCCTCTGGTGTAGGGGAAAGGAGGGATTCCCTGGACGCCTGTGTCCCCATCGTCATCTCGTCTCCTCTACCCCAGCCTCTTTGGTCCAGGGCTCCGTCTGTGAGTTCTCCAATGTGATGTTACTTAACATCCTGACACCTTTCTGGGTCTTAGGGGATTTGCAACTTCCGAGAGAATGGATCAGTGTAGGGCTATTGGGGGTCCCCAGGGAGGTCAGGGACGTGAGAGAAGGGAGGGATATGCTGGGCTGGAGCGGGTGGCTGGGGAGGCGGGCCGAGGGAGATGTGGTCACTGGTATGATCTGCTGGTGACCGTCTCGCTGAGGGGTGATGACGCCTTTTGCTGCCTGATGGCGCCTCCAGAGTGTGGGGTCCTTTGAGATGACCCCCAGGTGATGAGGACCCTGTGTGCTGGATCTGACGAGGTTGGGGGGATGGGGACCCAGATCACTCTCCTCCCCACAGTAGCTGATGGGTCCAGTGAACTGATCCCTGAGGATCTGCCCAAAATGCTGGAGGAAACACCCCATCTGAAGCTGGGGTCCCCCAGCCATTTGCCCTGCAGAGTTCTCTGTTCTAGAAACTTGGAGAGAGGGCAGCTCTGGATCCACACATCACCCCCTCCTGGGGGAGCCTGGGAGAACCTGCCACGACTGTCCTCGAAGGACCCCTGCCCAGCACTCGTTCCTTACCGCAGGGAGGCCAGCTCGCCACGCCACATTCCCGGCCCTGGCCCAGAGACACGCAGGGAAGGCCCATGGCTAGGCGGGCCAGGCAGCAGGGCTAGGGCCTCGGGTGTGTCCCCGCAAGGGAAGTGAGTGACCTGCCCATCCGCCCAGCTGCCTACCCGGCCTTTCCCTGCGTCATCTGGAAGATTCTCTAGGATGCACCAGGCCCCCTTACCTTGCCCTGGCTGTCGGTCTGGAACTCGGCCAGTTTCAAGGCGATCTTGGGATTCTTGCTGCCTGCAAAAACCGAAGTGAGGTGAACGCCAGGCAGGTGTCATCTGTGCGTGCCGAGAACCGGCGTGGGGGGCCTGGGCTGCAGGGTGACGTCCACAGAGAGGTGTACAATTGGTGTGGGGGAGGCAGGAGAAGTCGGGTGTCCCACGGTCTGTCTGCAGGCACACTGTCCCGCTGGTACAGGCATGATGCCCCTCAGGCGGGGACCTTCTAAGATTTTGGGCCTGGATCACATTCCCGACAGCGAGGTGACATTCGGCTTTCTCATTTAAGAACCCAGGCCACACCCTGTGCTGAGAGCTGGGGCTTGTGGGAGCCGCAGACACCAGGAAGATGCCATCCCTGCCTTGGGAGAGCTCCAGAGCAGACGGCGAGGCCCGAGCATCACAGTGAAACCAGTGACAACGTGACGAGTGGGGTGTGTCCCGTGCAAAACGAGGGAGCCGTGTGACAGCCAGACCTGCGCCCTTGGGAGGCCAATGGCGACAGAATAAGGGACCCAAGAGGCTTCTGAAGAGTGGGACTTAGTTTAGGCTCCAAAAGAGGGTGCAGGCCCTAGCAGAGCGGAGAATGCTTAATTTTTTTGGCCAGACCTACAAGAAACTCAACTCCAGCCCTCGTGGCTCTGGCCCCCAGGGCAGGTGACATCTCTGAGCCTCAGTTTTCTCATCTGTCAAACAAGGGGGAAGAGACTGACTTAGCTCATTTGCAGTGGGAGTTGGAAAGACCCCACAGGAAGCTTCCATCTAGCATGGCACAGAGCAGGCACTTGCGGGGTACGGGCAAGAACGATGATCTTATATAGTCCCACGGGGGTTGCAAACCCAAGGCCTGAATGTGGAATCTGGGCTGCATGTGTGTTCTGTTTGGCTCCAGAGATATTTTTAAATAATTGGAAAGAGGTTTAAGAATTGGGAGTGGCCGGGCATGGTGGCTCACGTCTGCAATCTCAGCACTTTGGGACACTGAGGCGAGAGGACCACTTGAGGCCAGGAGTTCGAAACCAGCCTGGGCAACATAGCAAGACTCTGTCTCTACAAAAAATTTAAATATTGGCTGGGCATGGTGGCACACACCTGTAGTCCCAGCTACCTGGGAGGCAGAGGTGGGAGGATCACTTGAGCCCAGGAATTTGAGGCTGCAGTGAGCTGTGATTGTACCACTGTACTCCTGCCTGAGCCACAAGGTGAAACCTTATCTCAAAAACAAACAAACAAACAAACACCACTACAGTGTGAGGGTCAAATCCAGCCTGCCTTCTGTTTTTGTATGGCTAAAAATCCTTCTTTCGCTCTGAGATGGTTAAGAAAATGAACAAATAAAACAAGAGGGACATTTTGGGCCCGGCGTGGTGGCTCAAGCCTGTAATCCCAGCACTTTGGGAGGCCGAGACGGGTGGATCACGAGGTCAGGAGATCAAGACCATCCTGGCGAACATGGTGAAACCCCGTCTCTACTAAAAAATACAAAAAACTAGCCGGGCGAGGTGGCGGGCGCCTGTAGTCCCAGCTACGCGCCTGTAGTCCCAGCTACTCGGGAGGCTGAGGCAGGAGAATGGCGTGACCCAGGAGGCGGAGCTTGCAGTGAGCTGCGATCCGGCCACTGCACTCCAGCCTGGGCGACAGAGCGAGACTCACTCAGCGAGACTCCGCCTCAAAAAAAAAAAAAAAAGAGGAACATTTTGGCTAATGTGAAAATCGTATGTATCTCAAGGTGAGTTATTTGCAATCCAAACTTCAGTCAAGTTTTCTTGGCATGCGGCCACACCCATTCCTGCACGTGCCGCTTTTGTGCTCCAGCAGCAGGGTGATACAGTTGCAAGAGAGCCTAGCCTGCCTTGGCCTGGCCCTAGAAGCCTGAGACACCTGTCCCCTTGCCCCTTCCAGAGACGGCTTGCTGACCTCTGAGCAATGTGATCAGGAGGCCATGGTAAGCCAGGAGAAAGGGGCGTCCCCTGCAGGGCAGAAGCCTTCCCCCTACACGGCCACAGATGCCCAGAGCACACCTGTGCAGCTCAGAGGGCCTGGGGGACAGTGCACCTCACCAGTCATGCCCCAGGGGCCTCAGATCCCCGGCCTGGCGGCCTGGCCCCTCACATGTACCGAGCACTCACCTGTCCTGGGGTACCGATACGAATCCGTCTTCCTTTCTTCTAGTGCAGGAGAAGGGACGTGAATGACCTCCACCTCGGACTCATCGACTTCCTCGTATAGGATTCGCAGCGTCTTGAGGCCCTCTGAACCTTGGTAGGGGTGGGCAAACTGAGGATGCCGGCGGCGGAGTCCCTGCCATCAGCCCACCCTCTTCTGCAGCACCAGGGCCTGACGCTGGGCACCGTGGGCTCTGAAACCAGAACCCCGGCTCTGCCATTCGCTAGATCGTATGCCAGTCCCAACTCTCTGGGCTTTGGTTTCCTCCCCTGTGCAGTGGGAAGCAGAGCAAGGCTATTCCCAGCATGAACTGGCATGGGAAGTGGCCACGTGGGGTGTAACGGGCTAAACTGTGTCCCCTTTTAGGGCAACGGCGATGTCTACAGTCATTAAGGAACTCTCTAGGTGTTGGTATTGACAGACCACGGAGGTGGTTTGAAGTAAAAGCAGTAAGGGGCAGGAAGGACACAGACTGTGACTCCAGGAGGAAAAGCACGCCTGGGAGCATGTTGAAAAATGGAAGGTACCTACCTTCCCAGGAGGCTGTGGGGCACCACCAGTACCCAGTGAAGCGGTCAAACTCTTCCTGTATGACGAAGGTGGCCACGCCCGCAGACTTGGGGTCGTCCAGGACGTTGGATAAACCTAGGGGGAGGGACGGAGAGCATCAACAAGGGGTGAGCAGCCTGCTAACATTGGGGATGGCCAGGGGCTCCAGGAGAGCATGAGAGAGAGGGAGAGAGAAGGAAGGAGAAGGAGGGAGGGAGGGAGACGTATGGAGAGGGAGGGAGAGCTCGAGCCGACTGTTTTCAAGCAGGGCTGCTCCACCTCACACTGCGGACACTGGGGTTCTCTTGGTCTCTAGGGTGGGGCCGTCCAGGGCACAGCAGGGTGCTGAGCAGTGTCCTGGCCTCCACTCACTCCATGGCAGGCCAGGGGCACCCCTGCCCAAGTGTGCCATCTAAAAACGTCTCTGGACATCGCTGAGCGCCCAGGTTTGGAAAAGTGGGGCCGGGCTTATGGGACGGAGAGGCAGCGATCAGTGACTTGAAACCAGGACAAGGAAGGATGGGGTCACTTCTGGTGAGCAGGGGAGTGGACAGAACACACAGGAAGCAGGTGAGATGTGGCCTTGCCTTGATGGGGCCGGACAGGCAGAGTGGAGGGGAAGGTGTGCAGGGGCAGAAATGCCCAGGAGCACCTGGCAGAGCACCGTGGCTAGGCCGATGCCTGCTGAAGAAAACCACAGAGCGGCCGGGCGCGGTGGCTCATGCCTGTAATCCCAGGACCTTGGGAGGCCGAGGCGGGTGGATCATTTGAGGTCAGGAGCTCAAGAGCCGCCTGGCCAACATGAGGAAACCCCGTCACAACTAAAAAATACAAAAAAAAAAAAAAAAAAATTAGCCAGGCGTGGTGGCGGGCACCTGTAATCCCAGCTACTTGGGAGGCTGAGGCAGGAGAATCGCTTGAACCCAAGAGGCAGAGGTTGCAGCGAGCCGAGATCACACCACTGCACTCTGCCTGGGCAAGAGCACTCCGCCTGAGACTCTCTCAAAAAAAAAAAAAAAAAAAAAAGAGAAAAATAGAGACCCCCGGGGGGACGTGGCAGGCCACAGAAGGTATGCACGGGAGGGTGGCTTGTGAGGGGTGCATGCAGGAAGACCCTGGCTGTGGGGACAACGGGGCCTTCTGGAAGCTGGTCAGGTGGCTATGGTGGCCATGCACAGGAGGGGCTGGCCCCACCTTGGTGGCAGAAGGTCAGCCGCCGCTCCTCGCCTGTCTCAATGTTGGCCACCCACAGGTCGCTGTTGTTGATGAAGGAGAAGAAGGCAGGGTCGGCAGGGCAGATTTTGGGGTCCATCCGGGGCCCTGAGCATTGGGTCTTGATTTCCAGCGGTTTCATAGGGGACACCTGAGGACAGAGACACCCAGCTCAGGGGGAGGGACCCGCCACACCGCCCCTGCACGCGGCCAGGGCCAGGGCTCACCATGAAGCCGTTCTTGCCGCCATCTCGGCAGTGGAAGAGGCTGTTGCTGGCCTGGAAGAGGAAGAGGCCGCTCTCGCTGTGGAAGTCGTAGGAGGTGATGCCGAAGACTCCCAGGCGCTTCCGCTCCCTCAGCAGCTCCTCCTCCCGAGAGTAGACCCCGTGGTGGGGTGTGGCCTGGAAACATACAGATGATGGGGGCAGCGTCAGCGGGCAAAGAGGATCCCCCACTGGTCAGGGCAGAGATCCTTGGGCTGGGGCATTCCCAAGGAATCTGGCTTTGGGCCTCGCCAGACAGAACTTCTTGCTGGAGCCCCTGACCCAGTGGGTAGCCAAAGATTGCCAGCAAACCTGGCCCTGCAGGACTGGCTGAGTGTCCTAGGAGGTGGCGGGGGAGACTCTGGGGCCAGAAGCCTCCTCACTTCCTAAGCTCCCTCCCCACAGACCCTCTGCACGGCAGATGGGGGCCCCTGGGATGGGCTGTCCCCTGCCTCACACCACCAGAGTGCTCTCTCTGGGTCCCTAGTGCCAATCTTACGGACTCCCCACCCTCCTACCCTGTTCACAATCCCTTCCCATCAAGAGCTTTCAATTTTGTAATCCCAGCACTTTGGGAAGCCAAGGTGGGCGGATCCAGAGGTCAGGAGTTCGAGACCAGCCTGGCCAATATGGTGAAACCCCATATCTACTAGAAATACAAAAATTAGCCAGGTGTGGGTGGCACGTGCCTGTAGTCTCAGCTACTCAGGAGGCTGAGGCAGAAGAATCGCTTGAACCTGGGAGGCAGAGGCTGCAGTGAGCCGAGATTGCACCACTGCACTACAGCCTGAGTGACAGAGCGAGACTTTGTCTCAAAAAACAAACAAACAAACAAAAAAGCAGAATCTAAAGCAAAATTACCCCCTACACTCTGTGGAAAGTAGTGTAAATATGAGGACATTGGCTTGGGGACGCAGAGACAGGCCAAAGTGAGGGCCAGTGAACCAGTGGTGGAGAAAGTGGGAGTGCCAGGATCTCAGAGAGACCGTTAGATATCATTATTGTTACACTGTTATGTTTATGTTGTTACTATGTTATAATGTTATATTATTTTATTGTTATATTGTTACTATTTTAGAGACTGGGATTCGCTGTCTCCCAGGCTGGAGTGCAATGGTGAGATCATGGCTCACTGTACCCTTGCACTCCCGGGTTCAAGCGATCCTCCCATCTCAGCCTGCCAATTAGCTGGAACTACAAGGCGAGTGCCATCAGGCCTGGCTAATTTTATTTTTTGTAGAGACAGGGTCTTGCTGTGTTTCCCAGTCTGGTCTCAAATTCTTGGGCTCAAGCAATCCTCTTGCCTCGGCCTCCCAATCATCAAACACAAAAACACGCCAATGCAAAAGGCATTTTTCCTCCCTCAACCATCCCCAGAGAGCCAACACTGGATGAGATTCATAATTAACCAGTCTCTCCAAAACGGCCTCAAGCCAGGTTAATTCCCAGTCTATGGTGATGCGGTTAAAAGGAACAGATGCTTTTGGTAAGAGCTTCTCTGTCGCTTGAGTACAGGTGGTCGTGGGGAGGAGGGAAGGCTCACCCGCCACAGTCCACAGGACGGAGGGTTTGCGAAAACCCACAGCCGGTGGGGAAGAGAGGTGACTGAAGGTGTGTATGGCCTGTGGGGCTGGCCTTTTGCCCACCTCCTCGCCCACGGTAGGGCCCACGCCCAACAGCACAGCTCACCTGGAAATGATCCAGCATCTGCTTCCAGGACAGGAGCAGCAGAGCCTCTTTCCGGACCTTCTTGGGAATCTCAGAGTAGAGGAGGGAGTTCTCTCGGCTGCCATATGGCATCCCTAAGGGAAGAAAGGAAACACCCAGAACGGGTACCCTGGCTCAGGATGGGGAGATGCCCTCAGCCACGATGCTGACTCCCTGCGCTGGGCCCAGCTGGTTCCCTCTGCTTCTAGAACATTCTGCCAGGCCGCTGGCAGGAAAGCCCTCCCGGGAAAGCTATGGATCCTGGGTTTGTGTATGTAGGCAGTAGGGTCTTCCACCTGAGATACGTCTGATGAATCTTATGGCCCAAATTACCAAAGAAACAGCACACAAGAGGCTGGGCACAGTAGCTCTCGTCTGTAATCTCAGCACTTTGGGAGGCCGAGGCAAGAGGACTGCCTGAGCCCAGGAGTTTGAGACCAGCCTGGGCAACACAGCAAGACCCCGTTTCAAAAAAAAGAATAAAATAAAATAAAACAGACAGAAGAAAAAAAGAAAAAGAAATTGCACACAAGAGAACAACAAGGGCAGTCAGGAACAAACATCCAACTCTCAACAGGTTGGGTTCAGCTCTCCAAGGCCCTTCTTTATCAAGGCTTTTGCAGACGACAAGAATTAAATTAATGTAGGATTAGAGGGAGGGCAAAACCATCAAAAAGGAATAAGGGCCAGGCAACATGGCTCACGCCTGTAATCCCAGCACTTTGGGAGGCCAAGTCAGGCAGATGACTTGAGGTCAGGAGTTCGAGACCAGCCTGGGCAACATGGTGAAACCTTGTCTCTACTAAAAACACAAAAATGCGCCAGGCATGGTGGCACATGCCTGTAGTCCCAGCTACTCAGGAGGCTGAGGCAGGAGAATCGCTTGAACCCGGGCGGCAGAGGTTACAGTGAGCCGAGATTGCGGCACTACAGTCCAGCCTGGGTGACAGAGCAAGATTGTCACAAAAAAAGGGAATGGGGAAGCGTGCACCTGGTCCAGTATTTCCCAACCTCACCCCTAATCACATTTGGGCCTGGACCATACTCTGGGGTGTGGCCGTCCTGGGCACTGCGGGGCTCTGAGCAGCATCCCCGTCCTCCACCCACTTCATGCCAGGGGCACCCCACAGTCGTGACAACCACACATATCCCCAGGTATCTCCCAGTGTCCCTTGCAAGGGCAGAATCACCCCCGACCTCAAACCACTGATTTAATCAAAGCTTCTGTAGAAAATGACGGTAGTGAGAGCTGCCAAGTGAGGGTTTTGGGTGGATTACATGAGTTAAGCAACGTAAAGCTCTTGGCACAATGCGCGTGACCCTCTGTGAAATCAGCGTATTTCGTCAGTAGGACATGGCTTTCCACGTACGCGTGTCTCTGCGCTTGGGACAGGTCTTACTGGGGAACGCGTGATCAGGTTCTTAGTGGCAAATAAAATAACTGTGTATTTTCCAAATGCTCACATCTTAGATTTGCTGGATGACGGGATCATTGTCATTAGAAAAGGGAATGGCAGAAGCAGGATGGTAATCCCTGGGAAGCTTCGGTTTCTCTCCATGCAACGCCACTGAAAAACCAGGACAAGGCTCCTCCAAGCATAAAGCGGTCCAGTGGCCCACAAACATGACATGGCTAATGACGCGTCACAGACAGCATGGAGCCCTAGCCCCTCCTTGCTCTATTTTCAACCCTGAGTTTCTCCAGGAGGAAGCCTTGGATTGGTGCTGTCCTGTCCTCTTTTCAGGACCTCCTCATACTTGTCTTTGTTTTTTTTTTTTTTTTTTGAGACAGAGTCTTGCTCTGTTGCCCAGGCTGGAGTGCAATGGCACGATCTTGGCTCACTGCAGCCTCTACCTCCCAGGTTCAAGCGATTCTCCTGCCTCAGCCTCCTGAGTAGCTGGGATTACAGGCATCCGCCACCACGCTGGCTTATTGTGTTTTTTTTTTTTTTTTTTCAAGACAGAGTCTTGCTCTGTCACCCAGGCTGGAGTGCAGTGGCGTGATCTCAGCTCACTGCAAGCTCTGCCTCCCGGGTTCATGCCATTCTCCTGCCTCAGCCTCCCGAGTAGCTGGGACTACAGGCGCCCGCCACCTCGCCCGGCTAGTTTTTTGTATTTTTTTAGTAGAGATGGGGTTTCACCATGTTAGCCAGGATGGTCTCGATCTCCTGACCTCATGATCCGCCCGTCTCGGCCTCCCAAAGTGCTGGGATTACAGGCTTGAGCCACCGCGCCCGGCCTCGTATCTTTTTTTTTTTAAGAGACGGGGTTTCACTGTGTTAGCCAGAATGGTCTCGATCTCCTGACCTTGTGATCCACCCGCCTCGGCCTCCCAAAGTGCTGGGATTACAGGCTTGAGCCACCCGGCCTATTTTTTGTATTTTTAGTAGAGATGGGGTTTCACCATGTTGGCCAGGCTGGTCTAAACTCCTGACCTCAGGTGATCCGCCCGCCTCGGCTTCCCAAAGTGCTGGGATAACAGGCATGAGCCACCACACCCGGCCCTCGCTTGCTTTTAAGAGAACAGGAAGGCCACAAGCTCACCGCCTCCAGGATTAGTGCTTAATAAATAATATCTGTGCCATTTTTATTTCTTGTTATAGGCAGCCGCAGGGTCCTCCAGTTTCCCCCTGCTTTCTTTCTGTGTCCTGACTGAAAAATCACAGAGTGCCCTGACCTCTGTGGCCCAGCCAGTTGCAGGTTTTTCCCTGCAGGCTTGAACCAGAGCCTAGAACATTCCCAGGCACCGATAAATACCGAAAGGCAGTCCCGGCCCTGAGCCAAAATCGTTAAACCCTCACATAAACTCTACCCTGAGACCGTTGCCGAGGATACACCTGAATATAGAATGTACCTTTTCTCTGACGCCCACTGCAAGGACACTGAAGCCCACCCTGCACCGAAGGCCCCTAGGAAATGCTTTGGACTCATCCCCCTGGTATTTAGGGTTCCTTTCTTTGGAATCCCAACCAGCCCCATCTGGGGATGGCTCAGGGCACTTCCTTGTGGGAACTCCTCTGCCGCTGCCTTTGGGGTAACTGTAGCTGCGGGTTCAGTGGGATGAAATAGAACCTTCTCACTATTCACAACAGCAAAGACACAGAATCAGCCTAAATCCATCAACGGTAGACTGGATAAAGAAAATGTAGTACATATGGCTGGGCGCGGTGGCTCACGCCTGTCATCCCAGCACTTTGGGAGGCCAAGGCGGGCCGATCACGAAGTCAGGAGATCGAGACCATCCTGGCTAACACGGTGAAACCCCGTCTCTACTAAAAATACAAAAAAATTAGCCGGGCGTGGTGGCGGGCGCCTGTAGTCCCAGCTACTCCAGAGGCTGAGGCAGGAGAATGGTGTGAACCCAGGAGGCGGAGCTTGCAGTGAGCCAAGATCACGCCACTGCACTCCAGCCTGGGCAACAGAGTGAGACTCCATCTCAAAAAAAAAATAAATAAAAAAAAAAGAAAGAAAATGTAGTACATATATACCAGGGAGTATTATGCAGCCATAAAAAAGAATGAGATCATGTCCTTTGCAGGGACATAGATGGAGCAGGAGACAATTATCCTTAGAAAACTAATGCAGGAACAGGAAACCAATGCAGGAACAGAAAACCAAATACCACATGTTCTCACTTTAAAAGTGGGAGTTAAATGATGAGAACACATGGACACATGGAGCAGAACAGACACTGGGGCCTACTGGAGGGTGGAGGGTGGAGGGGGAGAAGCAGACAAAAGAACTATTGGGTACTAGGCTTAGTACCTGGGTGATGAAATAATCTGTACAATAAACCCCTGTGACACAAATTTACCTGTGTAACAAACCTGCACATGTACCCTTGAACCTAAAAGTTTGTTTTTTTGAGACAGAGTCTTGCACTGTCGCCCAGACTGGAGTGCAATGGCGCGATCTCGGCTCACTGCAACCTCCACCTTCTGGGTTCATGCGATTCTCCTGCCTCAGCCTCCCGAGCACCTGGGATTACAGGCACACACCACCATACCCGACTAATTTTTTGTATTTTTAGTAGAGACAGGGTTTCACTGTTAGCCAGACTGGTCTTGAAATCCTGACCTCGTGATCCACCTGCCTCGGCCTCCCAAAGTGCTGGGATTACAGGCGTGAGCCACCGTGCCCAGCCAATTTTTATTTTTATTTGGTTTTTTGGGATGGAGTCTCACTGGAGTGCAGTGGCACGATCCCAGCTCACTGCAAGCTTCGCCTCCCGGGTTCACGCCCTTCTCCTGCCTCAGCCTCCCAAGTAGCTGGGACTACAAGCGCCTGCCACCATGCCCAGCTGATTTTTTGTATTTTTTAGTAGAGACGGGGTTTCACCATGTTAGCCAGGATGGGTTTTTTGGTTTTTTGTTTTTTTTAAAGAAAGAAACAGCAACTTCTAGTTGTGGCAAGGAACACAGGTTTCCCACACGTGATGAAGCATGCTTGTGAAGTACAGTAGTGACGGAAGGATATACTTAAAGAAAAAGATTAGATTAACAGGGTTCCTTTTAAAGTGTATTTATGAAAAATGCAAAGTTCAGTGAGATGTGTGTGGGAAGGAGAAAAATCGTGCGGAGAGTCAGAGGTGAGCAAAAGAACCCAAGTGCAGGAAACACGACTCAATCTCTCAGAGCCCTTGAGGCTGCTGGGACCCCGACCGTCCGGCCGCCCATGGGGATGAGAGTCGAGTGATGTGTGATTTCGTTCGTGTGAAATGTCTAGAATAGGCCAATCCACAGAGATAGGAAGTGGGTTCATGGTTGCCCAGGGCTGGGGAAAGATGGTTGACGGGGATGGGGTTGCTTTTTGGGGTGAGGGAATGTTCTGGAAGTAGACAATGGTGATGGCTGCACAACTCTGTGAATGCACAACGAAAAGCCACTGAGTTTCACACCTTCAAAAATGAAACTGTGTAATGTGAATTACATCTAAATTTTCAAAAAGCACCCTGGGCCAACAGGAGGGGTGGGAGGGATGGGAGGGCCTGGGCAACTGGTCCACAGGGACTCTGCGGGAGAGCGAGAGCTTTCCAAACAGGAAGTCAAACCCACAGACTTGCCAAGGACGCCAGGGCCACCTCCCTCCAAGCTGATTAATCAATGATCACCAAATGGCCCCTGCCAGCACATTCCTCGGGCGAGCTGCTGCTGGCCGCACCATGATGGTGACAACCGGCCTTTGAGGCAAGGCCTGGAGGTGACTGCCAAGAGCTGTGGATTTCTGATGCCCCATCCCTCCTCGGACCTCCCTCACCAGCTCTGCCCCTGCAAACACGCCTGCTGCCAACCTGTCACCCACCCACACCCCGGCGACCCAGGCCTGCGCAAACACCGTTTCCCGTCACTGCACGCTGTGGCCTCAGGTGGCTGGCCTGGTGGGGGATTGTGATCCACAAAGGGCTGGGCTGTCCCCTGGGTCTTGGCCTGGGACGCCGGGAGACAGGAATTCTTGCTTTCCCTTCCAAGGGAGTTCCAGAGCTGTCTGGAACCCTGCGGCCTCCTCTAGCCACAGAAGTCACCGTTTGCAGTTGGGAGAGGCCGGTCCGCATGGGGCAGGAGCGGGGTTGGGAGCGTTTCCCAATGCTGCAGCCTGAGGCCTGGAACCTGAGCCAGCCCCAGCCCATCTTCCCGGCAGCAGGAACTGCATGTCCCCCTGCTGCTCCGGCTAGCCTGACGCTGGGGGCTTCATCATGTGGATCTGAAAGAGGCCTTCCGGAGGGGCCCAGTGATTAGCTCCACATGCCCCACAGCAAACATGGTGCCTGCTGAGGACACGGGTCCCCAGAGGGAGCAGAGGGGACAGGTCCCATGCTTTGAGCAGCAGGCCAGGCCTGGCCTTGGAGTCTGGATGCTGGGCTAGTGCTAAGAAGTGTTATTATTACTCAGAGGCTGTGGGGAGGCCTGCCCCGAGAACCTGGATGTGACGTGAGCTCAGCGCTGCCCATGACAGTGTTAAGTGACAGACTGGAGTAGGTGAAGGGTGAATGTCACCCAGAAACGGGCAGTCTGGTTTCTGAGCTGCTCTACGTACGTTCTGGGGTTTCTGCCAAGTTCATGCCCACTGGGGTGGGCCCCCAGTACCTCCCGGGTATTGTGAGGACCTGCCCGTCCGAGCCCCAGACACGCACAAGCCACAGGCGACCCGACGACCTCATCTATGCCGAGTCAATATGATTCTTTGTCCCGGAAATTTGGAGAAAGTTCCTCCGATTCTGCTGGTGGCTAGAACCTGAGGCACGGAATCCCAGGGGCCGTGGAGGGTTGTAGAAGACAGGTGGGCAGCCAGGTTGGGTGGACCCATGGAGACGCACACACGGGAGGATGCCTGGCTTCTGGAAGGCTCCGGTTCTAAGGTGCTGCTTCCTGAGGTCCAACAAGCTTTCTGCTCTTGGATTCCATGGGATGCCCCTCTACTTTTACTCCAGGGGTACTTCATGGCTTAGACGAGCTTGGAGAGTTTCTGTACCTTTTAGCAGCTCGGTGGAGATTTGAATGACGGCCCTGATAGAGAGGTGTCCGCACCCTGGGGCTTGGGTGTGGAGGCTACGTTACACAGAGAGACAAGCCTGTGCAGCTGGGATTAAGTGAAGGCTCTTGAGCTGAGGAGATGATCCTGGATTACCCAAGTGAGCCAGATGGCATCATGAGTCCTTATCAGAGGGAGGTAGGCCAGGCACGGTGGCTCACTCCTGTAATCTCAGCACTTTGGGAGGCTGAGGCAGGCGGATCACCTGAGGTCAGGAGTTTGAGATCAGCCTGGCCAACATGGAGAAACCCCGCTTCTACTAAAAATACAAAAATTAGCTAGGTGTGGTGGCAGGCACCTGTAATTCCAGCTACTCGTGAGGCTGAGGCAGGAGAATCACTTGAACCCAGGAGAGGTAGAAGTTGCAGTGAGCTGAGATCGCGCCATTGCACTCCAGCCTGGGTGACAGAGCGAGACTCCATCTCAAAAAAAAAAAAAAAAAAAAGGCAGAGGGGAATTTCAGACAGAAGAGGAGTAGGAGAAGGAGGCTGTGTGACCATCAAGGCAAGAGGTTCCAATGTTGTGGCCACAAGCCAAGAGATGCCGGCTGCGACCAGAAGCTGGAAGAGGCCAGGACTGGTACGTTGATCTTGAATTTCTGCCCTCTAGAACTGTGAGAGAATCACTTTCACAATGGCAGCAACAGAAAACTCCTCCAAACACCCTGACCAGGAGAGCAACCCCAACGGGAGCAAGTGGCCATGGATGCCACGGGATAAAAAAGAGGCAATGGCCCATGGCAGCCTTGGTCTGGACACTTGCCGTCATAACAGCCAACCTCTCTCAGGTAACTGAAACTCAAGCCATTTCAGTCCGATTTCTCCCAGACTAGAGTTGGCCAGCATTCTTAAAGGCCCAGACAGCCTGGGTACAGAGGCTCACGCCTGAAACCCTAGCATTTTGGGAGGCTGGGGCAAAAGGATTGCTTGAGCCTAGGGGTTTGAGACCAGCCTGGGCAACATGGCAAAACCTCGTCTCTACAAAAAACTGTCTGGGCATGGTGGCACGTGCCTTTAGTCCCAGCTACCTGGAGGGCTGAGGTTGGGAGGATCATCTGAGCCAGGGAGTTCCAGGCTGCAGTGAGCTGTGATTACACCACTGCACTCCAGCCTAGGCAATGGAGTGAGACCTCATCTCTAAAAAAAATAAAAAATAAAAGACAGTAAATGTTTCTGGCCACGTGGGCCATATGATCTCTGCTGCGGTGACTCTCCCGCTGTAGCTTGAGAACAGCCAAAGTTGTCAGGAAACTAATGGGGACCAGGAAAACCTGACTTCTGAAGAAGGCTGTCGCCTGCCGACCCATTCTGGATGATTCTTCCTTTTAAATTCTTTGTTTGCCAAACCGCCATCTGACGCCCACACCGGCCTGTCTGTGGAGAGGGACTGCGCTGACAGGGGAAAGAGGACAGCCACCTGGTGTCCACCTCGGTCACTGTCGTTAGCACGTGGTCAGCCACAGGCAGAGGATGACAGCCGTTCACTGGTTCCAATGCTGGCTGGGGCCGCAGCACATGCGAGCCTGGGCTCAGAGGCTGAAGGCCCCACCCTGAGTCCCATGGATGAGCGCAGCAGCCTGGACAAGGATCCTAGTGCCACCCCACCCCCAAGGAACACTTGGCGATGTCTGAGGACGTGGCTGCTCCTGGCATGGAGTGGGTGGAGGTCAGGAACACTGCTCAGGACCCTGCAGTGGCCACACGGCCCCACCCCAGAGAACGATCTGGCTCCAGTGTCCGTGGTGCCAAGCGAGAGAGACGCTGCCTGTGGTGCCCAGCCATGTGTCACGCTGCTTTCAAAGACACAGGCCTGGCTGATCTCTCCAAGGTGTCCTTCCTCCCAGCTCTTAAGGCCTCTAGGTGCAGTGGGCACCATCTGGATATCCGCTGCCCAACTCATGGGCGCCGGGCCCACCGTGGCTGCAGAGGCTGCTGGAGAACATGCAGCCTAACCCGCGCCCTGAAGGCGTTTGTGGTGCAGAGGAGCCCAGTCCCATGAGGCACTGCAGACGCTGTAGAACGAGCTGCATGCAGGCACATGCCCAGAGGAGGAAGTGTTGATCCAGGGCCTGCAGCAGGGGCTGCAAGCATGTGGCAAGTTGCCCCTGTGCTGTCACCAGCAGCAGACCAGCTTCCGCCATCCAGGAGGCTTTCCTGGAGCCTCAGGATCCTTCCTGATGCGCTTCCGTGGTAAGCTCCCACCGGAGTTACTCCCAACTCCCTCTAGGAATGGTTCAGTCCAGTCCTGTTTGTCATGAGCCCCACCCAGCCTGGACCAGGTGGCTGGGAAGTGACTCAGGGGGTGGACCCAGCTGACTAGCACTGGAAACAATCTCCGGGCTCGGAGCCACAGGGCCAGCTTAAGCCACGGCATCCTGGCCACACAGAGGAGCGGGGCTGCCCTGTGCATGGCTCCCTGCACGGCTGATCCTCCGGGGACCTCCCCACCCACCCTGGGCAGCCCTTCCCTGTAGTCAGAGCCGTCTGTGGCTGAGCCTTGAAGAACAGCACGCCCAGGGTCCGGCCATCCGAGCACATCTTCTGACTCCTGCAGACCTCTGGGAACAGAGAGGACCAGGGCACCGTGGTCCCAGATGCTGTCCCCGCCCAGGCGGCCTGCAGGGCCCAGCTTACCCAGATAGTAGAGGCGGTGGGAGTGGGGCCCAGACTCATCCGTCTTCTGCACAAACTGGAAGTCGTGGGGCGCCTTGTTAACAATGAGGCCCGAGTACTTGCGGCTGCCGTGGATGATGCTCCGGAGCCCGTCCCAAGAGTGCTTCTGCACCTGGAAGCGGGCGGCCGGGTCATCCGTGGCGGCTGCATCACCTCGGTCGGCTGTTGGGGTCCCGGTGGTGGCCATCCTCTCAGCTCCCTCGGAATTCAGCGAGAAGCTGTGGGGAGGAAGCAAAGACCCTGAGAAAGGAGAACTGCTTTACCTACGAGCTGCTCCAACACTGCCCCTTGTGAGGCACTCAGGCTCTTCCGGATGAGCCCACCCCTGCCGCTTCCCACTCCCTAAACCCTTCTTGGGTTGGTTCACCTCCACCTCTCTCCATGTCACCAATGCTGCTAAGATTCAAGCCACCATCACCTCTCCAATGAATGATTTTTAAAAACTTTCTTCTTTTTTGGAGATGGGGGTCTCAACTATGTTCCCCAGGCTGGTCTCAAACTCCTGGCCACAAGCAATCCTCCTGCGTCAGCCTCCCAAGTGGCTGGGATGACAGGTGTGAGCCACCATGCTGGGCTTCGGCTGAATGACTGAAACCACCTCCCACCAGGATGTTCCACATCCACTGCCAAGACCCCATGGCTTAAAACCCTTCCTGGTTTTCCACAGTCCCCGGGATAAGAAGCAGTCCTCGCCACACCTCAAGGCCCTCGCTGACCCCTGCCAAGCCCTTGAATCTCATCCTCCTTACTCCCGTGCCCCAGCCAAACCAGCCTTCACTCAGCTCCTCAAACAGGCCGAGTTCCTTTCCACCACAGGGCCTCTGCACATGCTGGCCCTCTTGCTCGGAGTGTATTTTTCCTCACTTTACTTAACTTCACATATATATATATGCTTTGTTTTTTTTTTTTTTTTTTTTTTTTTTTTGAGACAGAGTCTTACTCTGTTGCCTAGGCTGGAGTGCAGTGGCATGATCTCGGATCACTGCAGCCTCTGCCTCTCAGGTTCAAGTGATTCTCCTGCCTCAGCCTCCCAAGTAGCTGAGATTACAGGCGCCTGCCACCACGCCCAGCTGATATTTTTGTATTTTTAGTAGAGACGGGGTTTCACTATGTTGGTCAGGCTGCTCTCGAACTCCTGACCTCAAGTGATCCACCTCCCTCAGCTTCCCAAAGTGTTGGGATTACAGGCGTGAGCCACTGCACCCGGCCTGCTTGACCAACTTCTAATCAGACCTCAGCTTAAGTACTTGGCAGGCCCTCAGAAGCCTCGCACAACCATCCAGGCCGAAGCTGGTCCTCCTGCTCACCTTTCACACGCCACCTGGCTGCCCCCCTCCCTCCACCGTCATCATAGCAGTTATTTGTGGGACCCCTGTCTCCCCCACATCTGTCCCATTCACAGCTGTGCTCCCAGAACCTTAGCTGGTGGCTGGCACACGGCAGGCATCTCGCGGAGCACTGTGGAATGACTCTCTCTCACCGGGCCCGCGGGGAGACACGCTGGGTCTCGGGAGAGGCCCGGGCGTGAAGGAATGAAAAGCCATCCTGGTCACCTGTGCTGTTGGCTTGCTGTCCAGCCAGGGAGACGTCTGGCCTTCACTGGAATTTCCAGAGCCTCGCGATGGGGGAGGTGCAGGTGACAGGGTGAATGGCACACACTTCCCCAAAGAACATCCCACTCGCTCCTCCCACTCAGGACCCTCTGGATCTGCAAAGCAGCCACCACGAGCAGCCGCTGCAGTGTCACAGCTCCCGCCACCCCACTCCCGCCCTCACCTGACTGGACTGGCCAGGCAAATATTTGTTTTACAGAAGTCTAAACATGGCCGCAGTGACCCAGTTCTGCAAGAGCCAGTGGTCTGGAAGGGGTGGCACCGGGGCCGGTCTCACTTCCCTTTGTGGGCTCCGAATGACTGCCGACCGTGCCAGAAGCCCTGTCCTCTGGGACCAACAGCTTGGCTTGGGGAAGTCACTGCTCGCTCGGAGGAAGTGGGAAAACCCAAGGGAGTGGACAGCAGGGACCGGGTGTGAGAGAAGTAAAGGGCAGAGACGAGTGGGCCGCCTTGACTCTGCGGCGTGCCAGTTCCGGAAAGACTCTGCCTCATGCCAAGGGGAGTCCCCACAGGCTGACCAATCCAAGAGAAAGAGCCCCAGCCTGCTCTGAGAGGGAAGAGGAGAAAGAGCTGCAAGGACGTCAATGAGTGCCTTTGGAAGATCAGGACCTGCAATTGTCACCTCACTTGGGCTTGTGACAGCCCATTCTACAGGTGGGGAAACTGAGGCTGGGAGGGCATCGAAGCTTGCTCCCAATCAGAGCCGAGTGAATGAGCAAAGGGGGTTCGAAGGAGGCGGCCCGGCCCCCAGCCTCCCACTGAGATGCTGTGTGACAAGCCCAGCAAATGCAGCAGGAAAAGCCACAGTGCAGCCCCGAGAACTTCCCATGCCGTGCTGTGAGACACCCGTGTCTGTGGGAACCCAGAGAGCTTCCCATGCAGTGCTCTGCGAGACACCCGTGTCCTGTGGGAAGGTCCTGGAAGCCAAGGAGAGTAGAAGCCACCTCAGTATGGGACATATGAAAGGCTCATGGGGCGGGGGGCCCCTTGGGAAGGGGGCTTCTGGGTATCACGGCTGTGGGCTGATTTCTGGAGGCTCCTCTCCAACTCGACCCCAAAGAAATGACAGGGGAAAATGCTTCCCTTGTTTCCTCCTACTCCATCCAGGCAGGGCCAGCGTGTCCTGCCCTCCAGCCAGGAGGAGCACAGTTTGTTAGTTCAGCTCCTCCTGAGATGGAACTAAAGACACGAACCAAAGGATATCAGCACTTACAGGGCTCTCAGGTCACCAGGATGTCCTTGCCCACTGCAGAGCTGCAGTTCCCCTCTAGGGCAGTGGGGAGCCACGAGCGGTGTTAGGCAGGGGCTGGGACCAGGACCGCCTGAGCATTCAAGAACCCACTCTGTCCCGAGCACTGCTGGCAACAAGCCCAGAAAACTGAGCCCGGGGAGCTCCTCTGAGCGGCCTAAGCACCCCTCTAAGCTGCGCTGCCCCAATTCAAGCCTGGCTCATGGCAGCAAAGAAAAGATATGACCTTCAGAGCTCCCAAAGCGGCCACCCGTGAGCACAAAGTCTGGAAGCACCTACAGAACCGTGTGGCTTATTTCCACGGCAAAGAACAATAAAAATGATCTTGCCTCTGATCACCACAGACAGCCCAAGAAGCAAAAATTCGATCCCGGAGATGAGAAACGAAATGAGACATCGTGAGAAACTTCCAGGAATCTTCTGGATGTGGCTAGACTCTTTAGCTTGAGCTTCCAGACAGGCCGAGGCTTGGTGCTGGAGCCTGGCCCTCTGCTCACCTCTCTTCTACCCGGAGGCACGGCCCGGACTGCAGAGAGGCTGGTGAAAGAGCGAGGCAGCGAGCGCGGGCGAGCCTGTGACTGGCTTTCTCCACCCAGCGCCACCCTGTGCTGCGGTTCAGGGGAGTCAAGAGTTTACACAGCTGCAGAGATGAAAGCGGATTCCAGGCCACTAACTCAAGTCTACCTACTCCTTTCTTCAGCCAATCAGCTGGGTGCCTCTGCGGCCTGTGACGCCACCAGCAAACAGCTCTAGACCTTCTGGCACGGTCTCTGTCAAGGCTGGGTGGCAGATCTGTGATCTGCTTTTTAAATTTTTCATTTTTTTTTTTTTAAGAGACGGGGTCTTGCTATGTTGCTCAGGCTGGTCTCAAACTCCTGGGCTCCAGCGATCCTGCCACCTCAGTCTAGCAAATAGCTGGGATGAGACGGGTGCAAGCCACCGTGCCCAGCTCCAAAGCTCTGTGATCTGTGTGTCTGAGACGGTGCTTTGGTGGCGAGCAGGGGCGCGGGAGTAGTCAGAGATGGGGGAAGTATTCGGACACCCAGAAGGAACTGTAGATTCAGTGCTGACTGCGGTTCTGAGTTCAGGCCGACCACAAGGTGATAAGGCAGAAAGAAAGGCGGGAGCCCCTGGCTGGCGTGGGGCAAGGGGCATATGGGGTGGTGAGGACAGGGTCCTACCCACGCACTAGATGGGGAAATGCCTCAAGGTGGACTTTAGGCAGTTGGCCTGGGCCAGGCAAGTGCTCCTGCAAGTGGGGGCTGCTGGGGAAACAGCATGTCATCCTCTGTTGTACCAAACTGCCCCCAGCACCGCCTGGGCCTTTAGCTTTGATGAGCAACCTTTACAGAGTCACCCAGCAGCCTGTGCCCAGGTGGGACATTAGTGTGTGCAGATAAGGGAAGGGACACAGATCCCCTTCAGTAACTGACCCCTAAGGCATGTGCCCACCAGACACTGGAACCGCCGGGTTTTAGAGCCCACAGCTGGGCCAATCACAGCCCTTCACACCGTCCCCGTCTTTCCCGGTCCATTCTTCAGTTCCCTTCCTGACTGAGCATGCTCCATTAAAGCAAACAAGCCTAAGAGTATTAGAAAATTGAGGCCAGGCACTTTGGGAGGCCGAGGAGGGTGGTCAGGTGATCGAGACCATCCTGGCTAATGTGGTGAAATCCCGTCTCTACTAAAAATACAGAAATTAGCTGGGTGTGGCAGCACACGCCTGTAGTCCCAGCTACTTGGGAGGCTGAGGCAGGAGAATCGCTTGAACCCAGGAGGTGGAGGTTGCAGTGCACCGAGACCACACCACTGCACTCCAGCCTGGGTGACAGAACGAGACTCCATCTCAAATAAATAAATAAATAAATAAATAAATAAATAAATAAATAAAAATGGGCTCAGTCAGGTTGAATGGCCTGTCCAACGTCACCCAGCGAGGAAGGGGAGTGGAACCCCAGTCTCTTGGAGCCCCAAACCCACATCCTTACAGTGAGATCAGTGGTTCTCACTCAGGAGTGAGTCTGCCCCCAGTAAAACTTGGCGATGTCTGGAGACATGTGTGGTTGTCTCAACTGAGGGGAGTGCCTGGCACGAAGTGGGTGGAGGCCAGGGACGCTGCTCAGCATCCTGAAGTGCCTGGGACGGCCCCACCCCAGAGAACATTCCAGCCCCAATGTCCACAGTGCTGAGGGGGAGACCCCACACTAGGCCATGCTGCCTCCTCGCTCGAAATAACCAGAACAGCCTTGGGGACCTGCTGGGAAATCCAGGGGAGAGGGAAAGAAGGGGCCTTCCAGATCTCAGACTGTTGGGGAATTCCGGAAGCTGGGCCACATCTCCACTGATCAGGGCCTCCAAAGCCAGCCTCACCTTCTCCAACTTCCGGTGTTCTCCTTGTCCAGGCGCAGCTTCTTAACCTTCCGCATTAACCGCTCAGCTGACCTCAGGAGGGCAGGGGTGCCTGCGGGCAAGCAGGAGGAGAGACCAAAGGGCTGCAACCCCAGCAGGTGGGGGGTGGGCGCTCCTGCCCCCCTTTGTCCCCTCCCCATTTCCCCAGGCAGTCCTCCAAGCCTCCGGGAGCACCCTGAGGCCAAGGGCATTCTGAAGAGACGATGCTTCAGGCTCTGCCCTGAAATGCAGGAGGTGCTGGGCATTTGCCAGAGACCGGCATCTTTCTCAACAGGAGGTTCCTTTCAAGGTGTGAAGTCCCTGGGAGTTTCAAGTGACTCCAGGGACAGCACACCAGGGCACTTGCTGGAAACAGAAGAATCCCAAATTCCTCACTGTGGCCGCTCCCTGATGGCCCTGGTGACCTTGCCTACTCGCTTCGTCCTTGACCGTGACCTTTGGCCGTACTTGCCTCCTTCCTGTCCCTCAACACATCCGCTTGCTCCTAGCACACGGCTTCTGCACGACGCACCCCTTGGCCTGAGATACCAGTTCCCTGCTTTTGATATGACTTGCTCCTTCTTGCCCTGCGGCTCCTGATACCACCTCTTCAGAGGTCATTCCTGAGCGCCCCATCTGAAGATGCTACCTAACTGTCCCCATCACCACACCCGGATGCTGACGCGATGGCCTGGACCATCATTCCGGTGGTCCCCTCCCCAGGGAGAGTGGCTCTCACCTGGGGGCGATTCGGCCCTCCAGGGGACACTGGACGATGTCTGGAGACATTTGTGGCTGTCACAACTTGGGGGTGCCCCTGGCATGGCGTGGGTGGAGCCCAGAGATGCTGCTTAGCACCCCACAGAGCCCAGGACGACCCACCCCAGAGAAGGATCCCACCTCAAATGTCACCAATACCAAACCGGAGACCCCTGCATCCATTACCTGGGGAGAAATTTGAGTTCAATGCCTACGTTCATATTAATACTGGAATAAACTTTCCATGGAACAAGCATTCTAAACGAGGGGGACCCCCCAGCTCCTGGGATTCACCTCCTCTCTCCTTCCCCACTCAGGGTGAGGATTTCAATGTCTGCAGCCTCCTGGGACCTTCGTAGGGCAGAGGATCATGGGACACAGTCTCTTGAGGATTCACGGAATCCCCTAACCCAGGGAGTCTCAACTGGGGATAACTGGCCCCCGCAGGGGACATTTTTGGTGATGGCGACTGGGACGGTGCGGGGAGGCATGTGGCTGGTGGAGGCCAGCGATGCTGCTCAACCCCTACAGTGCACAGGACAGCCCCCCTCCCACTCCTCTGCCAGGAAGGACCCAACCCTAAATATCAGTGGCAAGGCTGAGAAACCCTTCTGTGGGTGAGGGGGCACTCCTCACGGGAATGTCAGTTCCACAGGGCAGGTCACATCTATCCCGGTCCCAACAGATCGCCTGAGCCCAGACCATGCCTGGTCCCCGACAAACATTTCAGGTTGAATGAACGAGCTACTGTCCTTTCTTGGACGCTGTCTGAAGTCAAAGGGGCCCCTTGTTTGGCTGGTGCCCAACTACCTTCTCAGACAAGCCAGGTCCCATGATGGGCATTTGCCCAAAGGCGTAAAGAAGAGAGGGCCAGCTGGGTACAGGGGCTCACGCCTGGAATCCCAGCACGTTGGGGGGCTGAGGTGGGCAGATCACCTGAGGTCAGGAGTTCTAGACCAGCCTGGCCAACATAGTGAAACCCCATCTCTACTAAAAATACAAAAATTATCCGGGTGTGGTGGTGCAAGCCTGTAATCCCAGCTACTCAGGAGGCTGACACAGAAGAATTACTTGAACTCAGAAGGTGGAAGTTGCAGTGAGCTGAGATTGCGCTACTGCACTCAAGCCTGGGTGACACAGCGAGGTTCTGTCTCAAAAACAAAAGAAGAGAGGGAAGCACATGGGGACAGGACTGAGATTGTAAGGGAAGAGGTTAAGCATAAAGTTACCATGAAAAATCACTGGCTGCAATCTCACTCCAGTGGTGAAAAGTGTGGGCTCTGGTCTCAGAGAGAAGGGTTCAAATCCCAGCTCTGCCACTTCTGGGGAAGTCCCGAACCTCTCTGAGCTTCCACTTCCCCAGCAAGAACATGGTACCACAGTATCTACGCCTGGGGCCACAGAAGGAATTAAATGAGACTGCACACATACAGCTTTTAAAACAGTGTCTGATGTAGCACAAACTAAATGACAGCTAGCACTGTCAACTAAACAAGCTACTCAAAACCACAGGAAAGGGCAAGACTCAAACTAAAGTCCTTTCAAAGGCAGAATCCACACCATTTACTGACCAGGTCAGGCAGTATAGGGGGATACAGGCACCCCTCCACCAAATCCTGCCGAAATCAGCACTCTCCCCTTCTCTCCTCAAAGCCTTCAGAAAGCTCCTTCCAGGGGCAGCTAGAGGGGGACAGGGGTGGAAAGAAAAGCCTCCAGCAGGCACACAAAAAGCTGCAGCCACTGCCCTGCGGAGGACAACCACCCAGGCCCATAAAAATCCATTTCCTGACAATCTCCACGTTCTAGAGCAGGCAAAGGAATCCCACCAGCCCACACCCCAGCTTTCCTGGCTGCCAAACCCCAGCACAACTGACCTTCTAAAGGGTCCAGAGAGCCTCCATTCCAGCTGCAGGCGTGGGACACAGACCTTTATAGGAGAAATGTGTCATGAAGGTGGCAGGTTAATGGAAGCACCGGTCAGCCATTCAGCCTCCCCCACTCCGGAGCTGCAGACTGCCAGGCCCGATTCTACCTGGCTACATTTTCTGCAGCATCCTCTGCATGCCCTGGACAGAATCTGGGAGAAAAGCCATCCCACGGGCCCCGATTCCCCCGGGACCCAGCAGAGGAATGCAGGGATTGGTGCCTACAGTCCACACCTCCTGGGCTTTAGTCCCAGCTCCTCGAAAGCAGGTTGGTTCTTGCCGGGGAGGCAAGTGACTTCCTCCTGGGGCCCCTGGGGAAGACTAGGTGGGGGCCAAGGGAATAGACCGCTTTTGATGGCTCAGAGGAGGTGTGCACAGGGAAGTGTCAGGGCTGGCCTAAGGCTGTGTGGGAAGAAGGTGGACGGCTGGATAGGCCTGAGAAGGGAGGCTGAGAGAAGGGGAATGGACCCTGTAGGCTGGACCCTTGGAAGACAGCTACGCTAACCACTACACCACCAACGCCTCGGCAGGAAAAAGAGTCTCTGGATGTCCTTAATAAAGGGATCAAGTAGGGTTGAGGATCAGGACTGGGTCGGGGGAGACCAAGCCTTGGGGAGAAGGTTGGGGGAAGGAGTAAAGGGGTGAGGACAGGATGCAGGTCGAGGGGGGTGGCCTCTGTGCACATACAGCATTTGCATGGTGAGAGGGAGGAGATCGGGACCTCCAGAGCCTGCATGGAAGGGGAGAGGGTGTCAAGGTCTGCAGCAGCGAGGTCGTTCTTGGGTGCGGTCACCTCCGGAAGGGGTCAGAGCCTGGAGGCCTGGGCAGCAACGGGATGGGTGGGGAAGCCCGACAGGGAAAGGGAGAAACTGGGAGGTGGCCTGGCCAGCGCAGGAATCGGGAAGGGAAACAAGGTGGAAGGGGGCCTGGGGCGGAGGGGAAACGAGGCAGGGGGCTGGAGGGACCCGCAGACGGGTGCATGGAGGCCCCGGGGTGCGGGGACGCCAGGCGATGGCGAGGGCAGGGTCAGGGCCGAGGCGGGACCGGTCAATGGCGGGTTCAGGGTCGCGGCCGGGACTGGACGAGGTGCGCGAGCGCTACTCACCGGGACGTGGGGCGGCGGCCGGGCTGGGCAGGTCGTCCCGGGGCCAGCGGCGCCTCACGGTCGCGGCTCCATGCCCGGGACTGCGGCCCCGGAAGTGGCGGGCGCGGGGGACGACAGCGGCGGCGGACACCGGGGACCCGCCGGCTCAGGCACCTTTGACCCGGAAGTTGAGCGGCCCAGGCGGCGGCCTGGGATTGGACACCACCAGGCACGTACCAAGGCGTCCGTGGCGCTTGGGGGGGAACCCCGCGGCCCGGCGCCGTTGGCCTAAGGTGCAGAACGCCCCATGAACGACATCTTCCGGTGGGGTAAAGAGAGACACCCCCGTGTGACTTGGTATCGTTCAGTCACGCGCATGACCCTACTATTAAGGATATCCGGAGAAGCTGTTTGTTACCGTGGCGTTGGTGGTATAGTGGTTAGCATAGCTGCCTTCCAAGCAGTTGACCCGGGTTCGATTCCCGGCCAACGCAAAGCGTGCTGTTTTGCCACTTTGAAATTTTCATTTCACTTATTTTTGAGACCGAGTCTTGCACTGTCGCCCAGACTGGAGTGCAGTGGCGCGATCTCCGCTCACTGCAACCTCCACCTCCCAGGTTCAAGCGATTTTTCCTGCTGCAGCCTCCCAAGTAGCTGGGATTACAAACGTGCGTTACCACGCCCAGCTAATTTTTGTATTTTTAGTAGAGATGGGGTGGGGGGAGGGGCGGTTCACCATTTTGGCCAGGCTGGTCTCGAACTCCTGACCTCAGATGGTCCGCCCTCTTCGGCCTCCCAAAGCGCTGGAATTACAGGCGTGAGCCATCGCGCACGGAAAATTTTTTTAAATCCCATAAAAATTTCTAAAAGGCAGGAGGAAGGCGGAAGAGAAAGAATGGGATCACAATCCAGAACTTCTGTTTCGGTGTATTTCAAATAATATTACTTATCCGGTTAGGGAAAAGAGCTGATTTGTTTCCGCCCGGGATCGAACCGGGGACCTTTCGCGTGTGAGGCGAACGTGATGACCGCTACACTACAGAAACCGACAAAGGTTGCACTTCTTTGAACTCTCATATAGAGATGATGATGCAGAGCTAGTTACACTGTACCACTCCAAAGAAATACTGGCTGTGGTCAGCTGAGGCAATATCCATTCTTCCTGAATACCTGTTATTCCACTTGACACAGTAGAGATCCAAAGAAGGAAAATACGGAAGACAAAAAGAAATCCAATAAACACCCTTTCCAACACACACACACACACACACACACACACACACACACGTTTATTACTTTATCATAAATCCACCTTGCATTAAAACAATGAAAGTCAAATGGCCCACAAAACCATCCGGGGTCAAATGAACCTTTTCTTGATTCATCTCATAGATAAAATCTATACTTGACATCACATTAGTTTCTGCAGATAGTCACCATTTTGCTTTAGATCAAACTACTTTTTCGTTTTGTTTTGTTTTTTAAGAGAGAGTCTCATTCTGTCCCCAGACTGGAGTGCAGTGGTACGTAGGATCATCCCTCCCTGCAGCCTCCACCTCCTGGGCTCAAGCGATCCTCCCACCTCAGCCTCCTGGGTAGCTTGGATCACAGGTGTGGACCACCACGCCTGGGTTAATTGTTCTTTTTTGTTTTTTTTTTTATTTTTTTTATTTTTGAGGCGGAGTTTCGCTCTGTCGCCCAGGCTGGAGTGCAGTGGCCGGATCTCAGCTCACTGCAAGCTCCGCCTCCCGGGTTCACGCCATTCTCCTGCCTCAGCCTCCCGAGTAGCTGGGACTACAGGCGCCCGCCACCTCGCCCGGCTAGATTTTTGTATTTTTTAGTAGAGACGGGGTTTCACCGGGTTAGCCAGGATGGTCTCGATCTCCTGACCTCGTGATCCGCCCGTCTCGGCCTCCCAAAGTGCTGGGATTACAGGCTTGAGCCACCGCGCCCGGCCGCCTGGGTAAATTTTTTAAAATGCGTTTGGTAGACACGGTGCCTTATAGCTGGGACTACAGGCGTGTGCAATCACGCCCAGCTAAATTTTGTATTTTTTTTATGGAGACTAGAGGGCCTACACTATGTGGCCCAGGCTGGTCTCCAACTCCTGACCTCAACGTGATTCGCCTGCCTGCAGCCTCCCAAAGTGCAGGGATTACAGGCATGAGCCACCGCGCCCGACCCCAGCTACGCTGTAAAAGAGCTTTCTGAAAAAGAAAAACTGCGTGCATGTGTTTACACGCTAAATGCAGGAAATTTAGGAGGGAAAACAAAAAACAAGCCAGATACAGAAGATAATTTAAATGTAATTAAAATGGCTTTTCATCTCACCACCCAGAGCGTATTACACGTTAAAGCAATCGGGTTTCTCTTTCTTGCCTTTCTCTCTCTCTTTTTTTTTTTTTTTTTTTTTTTTTTTTTTTTTTTTTTTTTTTTCTGAGACGAAGTCTGGCTCTGTCGCCCAGGCTGGAGTGCAGTGGCGCGATCTCGGCTCACTGCAAGCTCCGCCTCCCGGGTTCACGCCATTCTCCTGCCTCAGCCTCCCGAGTAGCTGGGACTACAGGCGCCTTCCACCATGCCTGGCTAATTTTTTGTATTTTTAGTAGAGACGGGGTTTCACCGTGTTAGCCAGGATGGTCTCGATCTCCCGACCTCGTGATCCGCCTGCCTCGGCCTCCCAAAGTGCTGAGATTACAGGCGTTAGCCACCGTGCCTAGCGTCCTTTCTCTCTTTCTTTCTCTCTTTTTCTTTACTTTTCTTTCTTTCTTTCTCTTTCTTTTTTCTATCTTTTTTTTTTTTTTTTGAGATAGAGTTTGCTCCTGTTGCCCAGGCTGGAGTGCAGTGGCACAATCTCAGCTCACTACAACCTCCGCCTCCCGGGTTCAAGCGATTCTCCTGCCTCAGCCTACCAAGTACCTGGGATTACAGGCACCCGCCACCACGCCCACCTAATTTTCTATTTTAACTAAAGACGGGGTTTCGCCATGTTGGTGAGGCTGGTCTCGAACTCCTGACCTCAAGAGATCCGCCCGCCTCAGTCTCCCGGACTGCTGGGATTACAAGTGTGAGCCACCGCTCCCGGCCTCTTTATTTTCTTAAAGAGACAGTAGAAGGGGTAGGGAGATGAAGGCAAGAATTTAGGATCAGACTGTTGTAAAATTCCACACACCCCCACTCCTGCGGGACTGGGATTAGGATGAGGAGGTGCAAAAATTAAGGAGGTGCCAAAAAACTCAATAATCAAGATAAATAATATTTCAATACATTTTTTTTTCTTTCTCTCTCTCTGTGTTATCTAGGCTGGAGTACAGTGGCACAGTCTTGACTTACTGCAACCTCCACCTCCCAGGTTCAAGTTATTCTCGTGCCTCAGCCTCCCTAGTAGCTGGGATCACAGACATGAGCCACTTGCCAGGCTAATTTTTGTATTTTTCGTAGAGACGGGATTCCACCATATTGGCCAGGCTGGTCTTGAACTTCCGAGCTCAAGTGATCCGCCCGCCTTGGCCTCCGAAAGTGCTGGGATTACAGGTGTGAGCCACTGCGCCGAGCTCATGTTCCCTTTTAATAAGGACATCCATGATATTAGACTACAGCCCACCCTAATGATCTCATTTTAACTTCGTTGCCTTTGCAAAGACCTTATTTCTAAATAGGGTCATGTTCTTAGGTGTTCCGGGGGTTAGAATTCTGACTTACCTTTTGGGGGAGTGGGACACAAGAGAGGGATTAGCCATTGTTTGATGAATTGCAACTAATTAACCAATCCCCTATTGTCGGACTTTCAATTCTTCCCTCTTAACTAAGCAGCCAGGAAATCCTGGTTGCTACAATTTATCATAATGTTGCCTATTTACGTGTCTGTTTCTCCTTAGAGCAAAACCCACTGAATCTAATGAGATGTCCTCATTCTCCAGTTTCACTTTCTCTTCTCCAATTATTTTTTGTTTTGTTTTGAGACAGTCTCGCTCTGTCACCCAGGCTGGAGTGCAATGGGGCGATCTCGGCTCACTGCAACCTCTGCCTCCTGTGTTCAATGAATTCTGGTGCCTCAGCCTCCCGAGTAGCTGGGATTCCAGGCGTGCCACCATGCCCGGCTAATTTGTGTGTTTTTAGTAGAGATGGGTTTTTGCCATGTTGGCAAGGCAGGTCTCAAATTCATGACCTCAGGTGATCCACTGCCCTGGCCTCCCAAAGTACTGGGATTACAGGCATGAGCCACTGTCCCTGGCCTCCAGTTCTATTTTGAGCTAAGGTGACCATACAGCTGACTTTGGCTAGGATGGTCCCATCGTATGCCCCCACCCCTCAGTGCCCCCTTTCTTGCTCAAAAGTGTCTTGATTGACCAGGCATGGCGGCTCACGCCTGTAATCCCAACACTTTGGGAGGCCAAGGTCAGCGGATCACCTGAGGTCTGGAGTTTGAGACCTGCCTGACCAACAGGGCGAAAACCCATCTCTACAAAAATTGGCCCTGCATGGTGGTGTGTGCCTGTAATCCCAGCTATTTTGGAGGCTGAGGCTGGAGAATCTCTTGAACCCGGGAGGCAGAGGTTGCAGTGAGCCAAGATCACGCCATTGCACTCCAGCCTGGGCGACAGGGCGAGACACCATCTCAAAAAAAAAAAGTGTCCTAATTTTGACTATAAATTATAGGGTCACTCTGTCTTGAGCTTCAACATAGTCAGACTCCCGCATCCACCACTCCCCCAAAACTCTTCTCATTGATGACCCTTCTGCATCCGGTTCCAAGGTCGGTCTCTCCGTCCCAGTCCTCTCCATGGCATCTGATCCGCTTGATCCCTCCTGCCCCGGGGACCTCTGTCCTCAGACCATGCACTTCCCTCCCACCTGCCTGGGACATCCCTCCGTCTTCCCTCCTCTCCATTGCTGGCCAAGGGCTGGGTCCTCCAGCCTCCTCCCTCCTTCACCCACACCCCTCCCCAGCGGGCTCCAAACCTGGTCTACACCCAGCATTGCCCACAGTCCCGTCTCCAGCCCGAGTTTCCCTTGAAGTCCAGACTCTGTGTTCAGCAGCCCCTGATGTCTCCACGTGGGGGTCTCATGGGGTCTCACATTTATTGCAGTCACGTTGGTCCCAACTGGACCCCAAACCGTTCCTCCCATGTCCACCACCTAGGCTGAGGGCAGGTCCATCCTTCCAGGGACTCAGCCAGAACCTGGGAGTCA